ATATATATGAGAAATAAAAAAGAAATGAAATGGGAAATCCTCGTTGGAATTAGAAGTGAATTATTATTATTATTATTAGTATTACGAAATAAAAGATAAAACCACGCATTTGATTATAAATGGTGGAAGAACCGCCGGTTGCCACATTGGCGGCGCGTTGTGAGAGAAAAATGGAAGAGCCAACGCAGTGAGTTGACTCGGCTCTAAATTATTTTAAACCAAATGGGTCTCTCTTTTTAACAGCTAACCAATTAGGTATGAATTGAATTCAGTGGTAATTTTTCAAGCTTAGGTATGAATTGAATTTAGTGGTAATTTTTCAAGCTGACCACGAAGCATTCCTTACATAGGTGTAGGTAATAGGTCAAAGCGGACAATTGTAGGCTTCCATGGAAGGGAGATGGTGAAATCTCGAGAGAAAAACGAAGCATTCCTTGTGTGAATGAAACATTCATTATAAAAATGTAGAGACCTTAGACTACTACATGGGCGCCTCTTACAAGTGCTTTGATAAGAGGCGTTTTTATCTATAAATATCTTGGACATTGAAGAATGCTGAGATCGATATTCTCACATGGGTATTCCTTAAAAAAATATATAGCTTATGATCCTTTCAAAATACAAGAAGTTTCAATTTAATACCAGCAAGAGCTACACCATTGAAGAGAGGGTGGGAAATTAAACCCGCAAGAAAAGAAACCTCATTTCCAAAATACAAAAGATGTCATCACTTTATTTAACCCACACATTTCCAACAAACAGTTCCGGTACACATCGTTTATAGCCCTCACTCAGAGCTTCACATTTTCAACTCAATCCTTTTACATTGCTGCAGTCGATCCCACAGCTCCATGATACCCAGAGCAGAAATTAAAACCAAACCATACATCATTCGGGATCATCGCTTTGTAGTTGTACGTAACGGATCTTCTCGAAGAGTAACTATAGATGGTTACTTTGTCCACTACCCATCCGTCGTATCCTCTCCTGTAGAGGTAAACGTAGCATATCGGATACGTGCACGGTCCGTTTAAGTCGTATTTGTCTGTAGAGCAGCGCTCGAATGCCCTTGAAGATGGATCGTCAATCCTTGGTATGTATACCTAATCAGTCACATAATGTTTGAAGAACAATTAGGCATTTTGAGAACAATGGAAATGGGGAAGAAAATAACTCAAAAAGAATTAAATCAACTGTTGAAGAACCCAAAAACTAAACTACACGCCGTACCCCGAAACTTTCTTATACTACAAGAATGAGAGTACTAATCTTGTTCGTTGTCAATCACATTAACATCATTTAAAAATGACATAAAGTCGAACGACGTTAAAGCATTAACGTCAATTATAGTACGATCAAAGTACTAGTTTAGTCATTTCCTATTTCAGAGTTTTTAGATCAAAGTTCGCTTGATTTTCCAGAAACATTCTAAACCTGCATACAAATCTTGATAACAAAATATGTGTTCATCTCTGTTCTTCCTAAATATTAATGAAACAGCTATTTCGATCCTTTTTAGTCCATTAACTATATCCTTAAAAGGGACTAAACTCAACAAAATACCCCAAATCCAACACAAACAGCTACGAAAGTATCACCATCCATTACTTACAACAAGCCACAAATCTTTAAAAGCAGAAACATAATTGAGAGTACTACAGACTCATTTCATGATGATTTCATTTTGAATAAGTAGTGTTTATATGCTTAATTGTCAAAAACTAAATATCAAACACTATAGGCCTAATGTCAACATGTTTTCAAGAAGTATGGGGTTGAGTTAGATGAAATTGGATCACTGTTCATCAGACAATCCCCAGATTTCTAGTGCTCATACTTAACCATAGACACACAATGTTCAACAGAAATCACAAAAGATAATATGAAACAGTACTGATTTTACATTGGGATTGAAATTTTATTCCAAAATGAGAAAATACCTGATTGCCATAAGCATCCCCAAATGCAATACTGATCTGGTCTCGAGTATAAACAGGTGATCCACAGCTTGTTTTAATCGTCACCGTGTACGAACAGCTCCTAGCATTCTATACAAACACAAAACAACAGCAACAACAAGGAAAGGGTTCACGAGTCTTAAGTCTAAAATTACGCCAATAACGCAAAAACCCACATCGATTATTCATCACCAGAGCAGAAAATCAAACCACACACTGCAAATTTCTACGAAACGAACAAATGGGTGATTCTAATTTGAACGGTTAAACAAATTCATGATGGTTTTTCCCCCAATTTTTCTGGGGGGAAAAAATGGCGCGGTCTCGATCGTAAGAACACTTGGGGTTAAAACAAATCGCAATTGCTCACCTGGGTATTGTTGATCTTGAAGGATTGAAGAGGCTGTGGCTGAGACTGTGGGTGGGGAAGGATGGATCGAGAAGATTCTGAGAAGCCGAAGAGTACCAGGAGGAAATACAGGGAAATAGTTGCTTTCTTGAAGGATTCCATGGCCTCTCGTGCTCTGCTCTGCACTCCGATTATTGAAGGGCTCTTAAATATAAAGCCACGCGAACTCCCAACTGCCACGAGAATCACCCGAGCGTTGGAGACATTTTTCTAATAGATCTCTTCCTTTTCCGCTTTCCCCTTTTTGTTTTTCCTAAATAAAAATTAGCTTTAATACGGCTAAATTAATAAAAATACCTCTAAAATTAGTATTTTTTCTAAAAATATCTTTAAATTTTTAAAAATTGTAATAATATTTTTAAAGTTAAAGAAAAAAAAATATTAAAAAAATATTTATTATAAGTTTACGAAGAAACTATTAATATTTTGTTTAAAGAATAGTTTTGTATTTATAATTATATTTCAAAAATACTCTTGAACTTTGAAAAACTTTAGTTAATACCCTTAAAATAAGGTATTTTTAGACCATAAGTTTAAAATTTAGAACAAAAATACAAAGATTTTTTTTTATAGGTTTAAAATTTAAAGACAAAAAAATAAAATTTAAAAATATTTTTATTAATTTAGAAAAAAAAACAGGAGTACCTCCTCAACCTCAGCCAACAAGCGACGTTGAATCCTCTCATTTGTTCTTGAATTTTCAGTGAGAGGCAGGACATTGGCACCCTCGAGAGCAGCATTGGTGTCTTGACCCACACAACGTCAGATCTAGCCAGCAGCCTTTGTCAGTAAGACCTTCAACCTCCACATTTCCTTTCTCTTACTTCCCTTGTTCTGCAAATCATCTGGTTTTAGGCGTTTACCCTTGTTTGTCATCATGTTGGCGTCGTGTCTAATACGTAGGATCGTTCTCCTTTCAACTCTCACTACCACTTGTTTAAGCCCACCGGTAAGCTCGAGTGTGCTTTAATCCATTACGAACTCGGTTTAAGGTGAAGGCCACGAGGCAATATTCCTTATATACAAGTATTATAGCCCCTAAGTACAAAGTTCGGGTATTCATGTTTGTATGCACTGTTGTGCACCGAAAGCGGAACAAATGTACTCACAACCACAGTGAATAGAATTACACAAAGAGACATCAAAATATTTACGTGATTCGAAGAGAAGAAATTCCCCTACATCCACGAGGTAGCAATCAATCACTAATAATCAAAGCGTTACAAGTGAATACCTCATTATCACACTACAAAGACTCTCACCAAAATGTCATTCAAGATATACAATGTGACACACAAAACTCCCTCAAATTCCGATATCAACAACATTCTAAATAAGCCCGTGATAAAGAGACAATTGTTTGGATTAATATTAAAATAGTTACACAATTAATAACCAAATTAATAATATTCTTATTTAATCCACCTTATAAATCGATGAAAGTTAATAACTAAATTAAATAAAAAACTTATATCGTTTTAGGATAGGACAATTTACAACATGTGGATGTGGAGTAGATCATAAAAATCAACGTGACAACGTGTGAATAAATAATTGTATGCTAAGTACACGTGGAGGGAAATGATTTGATGAAAGAAAAGGATCTTTGAAAAATGACGTACGGTGGGCCATCCCTAACCTTATCATTGAAAACACCAGATCAGATCATATTGATTTCCCGCCTTTTCATCTGGACCGTTGGATGCTCCACAAAATTGTCGGTAACCTCTATCGCTTGCCACGTTCTTTGGTGGCTAGCCAATCATGCCGGATGACATATTTTATGGAAAAAAAAAAAAAAATCCGTTCGTGAGTAAAATTAATAATAATTTCATCTAAATTATATATAAAAAAAAAAAAAAAAAAGTTGACATGATATATCTCTTAGAAAAGTTGATGAATTGACATCAAAAAAATAATTTGCCATGCAAGAATATTATGAAGTATATTTCAAGAGATTTAAAAAATAATTTTAATTTTAAAATTAAAAAAATTAAAAAGACCAATATTCATGGGTTAATTTAATTTAATTTATATTATTTATTTATTGTTTTAAACGTCATTAAATGTCATCCATCTAAGTCATAGAGGAAATTAAAATTTAGTTGGAAATTTGTGTGGCTCTAATTTGCTTGGACCATACTCCATATCTAGAGCCTTGTCACTTGGGCAATTCTAACCAATGTTTTATATTTCATTATTATTATTATTATCATTATCATTCACAATAAGGAAATTAATGCTTTTCAAAACTAATCAATTATTTATATCATTTTATTCCCTCTTTAACCCTCTCCAAAGATATTACAAGGAAAAAAAAAATATTGTCCAACCCACACTCCAACCAACTACTTTATAAAATAAAAAAAAAATATATATATATATATATAAATACGATAATGTTATATTATTAAAAGAATAATTAAAGTAACCATTATTAAATTAAAAGTTTGTATTTAAAATAAAATTCGGATTCATAAATGTAAGCATAAAAGAAAACTACATAAATAATGTCGATTTCTTTTATATATATATATATAATATAATATAATAAAATAAATAAATAAACTACATTTTACTTTAGTGAATCAATAATATTTTACTCAACTTTATCCTTTTTCATATGCTTGCAATCATTCCATTTATGCATAAAACTCCTTCCATTTTCGTTTCCCCTCTGCTTCTTCTTCGCTGAAGCTGAAGAAAAAAATCTGCAGAAACAGTACGGAAAGCTTCGAGAAAGGTATTTCCATGCCTCTGCTGCTCTTCAACTTTGTTTCTATTTACTTCTTCTTCTTGCTCATGTTTCTTACTAAAGCGTGTGTTATGAGTTCGTTCGACTATTTTACTTTTCAATCGCTTCCTGTTTTGTTAAATCTGTGTTGCTGCGATTAGTTCTCCGATTTTCTTTAGTTTTCTCTTCAAATCAATAACTGAATAGGATCGGTTTAGAGGATCTTGCTACTCGTCGGAGCTCTGCTATCTGATTAGTAGAATGCGACAGATCTCTGCCTCCTACGGTGGTTAGTCGCCGTCAGATCCGGTGACTCTGAGTGCCGTTTGGGCTGTAGGAGGGGACGGATCTCCGACCTTCGGTAGTCGGAGAGTTGGACGGCCGTCGACGGCTAGAGTACCGTCGAGAGAGAGAGTGGAGTCCGTACGTAGGAAATTTTTATATTATTATTTCTTATGTGCGTGTGGTTGTGGCACCACTTGCTGTTATCGCGTTCGCTCGTGGGCTCCGCCAGGTCTATTCATCGAAAACCCACAAAGAACGTTTTACCTTTCTTTTTTGGAAAATAATTAGGATCTAAAAAAACTTTAAAATATCCTTTATAACATTAAAGTTTCAATAATAACGCACCAACTTTCATTAGTTTTAAAAATAACTTTCATCGTCACAACTCTCCGTAATGGTACGAGATTGTCCACTTTGAGCATAAGTTTTTATGATTTTATTTTTGGCTTTCCAAAAAGCCTCAAACTAATGTAGAGAGCATTCTTTGATTATAAACCTATAATTATTCCCTTGGTACTTTCATCATCCAAGGGTCGACAAATACTTTCATAAAAATTAATGAGAATAAACAAATTATTAACATTCTAAAGATTGGTGGTAACAATTTAACATAATAAGCTTTAAATGCTTAAAATTCATAACTAGAATTTTGGAGCATCAAATTATGGGATGAAAAATAAATTATTGATGAACCCACCTACTATATTGTCATGAATGAAAAATTATAGTGTTTAACCTTCCTATTAGTTTTCATTAAAATACTTTTGGCGTTGATTTTGAGGTTAATAAATTTGATTATAGGGCCTAATTCAAGAGGATTACGTTAATTTTGTGTGGCAGTTGAGAAATGGCGCACATTCTGCTTCATGGCACCCTTCATGTCACCATTTATGAGGTGGATAAGCTTCACTCCGGTGCTCGCAATTTCTTGAAATCGGTAACTCTCTACTTTATCTTAATTAACTTTTCTTGAGGTGGATAAGCTTCATTCCGGTGGGAGCTAAAAGTTGATAACTTTTTTTGGGTGTGCAGTTGGTTGAAAACGTAGAGGAAGCTGTGGGGTTTGGCAGAGGAGTAACGAGGCTGTACGCCACCATTGATTTAGAGAAGGCCAGAGTTGGAAGAACAAGAAGACTCGAGAAAGAACATTCAAATCCAAAATGGTACGAAACTTTCCACATCTACTGTGCTCACATGGCTTCCAACATCATCTTCACTGTCAAAGACGACAATCCCATTGGAGCAACCTTAATCGGCAGAGCATATTTGCCTGTCAAAGAGATCATAAGCGGTGAAGAAGTTGACCAATGGGTTCCTATCTTGGACGAACGCAAGAAGCCGATTCGTGGAGACCCCAAAATTCATGTCAAATTACAATACTTCGATGTCACTAAGGATCAAAACTGGGGTCGTGGCATCAAAAGCTCCAAGTTTCCTGGAGTTCCCTACACTTATTTCTCTCAACGACAAGGTTGTAAGGTAACTTTGTACCAAGATGCTCATGTTCCTGACAACTTCATCCCCAAAATTCCTCTTGCTGGTGGCAAGTTTTATGAGCCAAATAGATGTTGGGAAGATATTTTTGATGCAATTATTAATGCTAAACACATGATTTACATTACTGGTTGGTCTGTTTACACTGAGATTTCTCTGGTGAGAGATAAAAGAAGGCCAAAGCCTGGTGGAGATATGATGCTTGGTGAATTGCTTAAGAAAAAAGCAAATGAAGGAGTTAGAGTTCTTTTGCTTGTTTGGAATGATACTACTTCTGTGCCTATCCTGAAGGAGGACGGGCTAATGGCTACTCATGATGAAGATACTGCTAAGTTCTTTGCTAATACTGATGTGCATTGTGTTCTGTGTCCTCGCAATCCTGATGATGGGGCTAATGTTATTCAGGATATTGCCGTTGGGACAATGTTTACTCATCATCAAAAGATTGTTGTTGTGGACAGTGCTTTGCCTAATGGAGATCCAAATCGAAGGAGGATTGTTAGTTTTGTTGGTGGGATTGATCTTTGTGATGGTAGATATGATACTCCATTTCATTCCCTTTTCAGGACTTTGGATTCAGCCCATCATGACGATTTCCATCAGCCAAACTTCACCGGTACTTCCATAAACAAAGGTGGTCCGAGAGAGCCATGGCACGATATCCATTCCCGCCTTGAAGGACCGGTTGCGTGGGATGTTTTGTACAACTTTGAGCAGAGGTGGAGGAAGCAAGGTGGAAAAGATTTGCTTGTGAAATTAAGGGAGTTGGATGCCATCTTCATCCCTCCATCACCTATCATGTTCCCTGATGACTTTGATAGTTGGAATGCTCAAGTTTTCAGGTCCATCGATGGCGGGGCGGCTTTTGGCTTCCCCGACTCGCCCGAAGAAGCAGCCAAAGCTGGACTTATAAGTGGAAAGGACAATATTATTGATAGAAGCATCCAAGATGCTTACATTAATGCCATTAGAAGAGCAAAGAATTTCATATACATTGAAAATCAGTATTTCCTTGGAAGCTCGTTTGAATGGAGAGGTACTGATGTGAAGCCGGAGATGATCAATGCCCTGCATCTAATCCCAAAGGAACTTTCACTTAAGATTGTGAGTAAGATTGAAGCTCGAGAGCGGTTCACTGTGTACGTCGTCGTCCCGATGTGGCCGGAAGGATTCCCAGAGGGGGGAACAGTTCAAGCTATATTAGATTGGCAAAGAAGAACAATGGAGATGATGTATAAAGATATAGCTCTAGCCCTTAGAGTTAATGGCATCGAAGAGGATCCTAGAAACTATCTGACTTTCTTTTGTGTAGGCAATCGCGAAGTTAAGAAGCCTGGAGAATATGAGCCATCAGAATCCCCTGATGAAAATTCCAGTTACCTTAGAGCCCAACAAGCCAGGCGCTTCATGATTTATGTTCATGCCAAGATGATGATCGGTAAGTTTTGACTTTCTCTTAGTTCTAGGAATTCTCTTTCCATACACGTCACCCAAGCCCACAGCTAGTAGATATTGTTCTTTTTCGCCTTTTCCTTCCAGAGCTTTCCCTCACCATTATAAAGAATGTTTCGTTCCTCTCTCCTACCGATGTGCGATTATGAGCTATTCCCAACAGATGATGAATTCTTGCCGAAAAATGATGACCTATTCTTGCCCGAAAATGAAACTTGTCATTTAACCTTAAACCTTAGTAAAATTAAAACTAGCCTTATCTCAGAGGTGGTAGTAAATTTTAGTTGAGAAAGCTAATGTTATTTTGTTTAAAACAGTTGATGATGAATACATAATAGTGGGATCAGCCAACATCAACCAAAGATCAATGGATGGTGCAAGGGACTCAGAGATAGCCATGGGAGCTTACCAGCCATTTCATCTGTCATCAAGAGAGCCAGCAAGAGGCCAAGTCCATGGCTTCCGCATGGCATTATGGTTTGAACATTTAGGATTACTCCATGACTCCTTCCTCTTTCCAGAAAGCATCGAGTGTGTAAGAAAAGTTAACCAACTTGCTGATAAATATTGGGACCTATACTCAAGTGAAACCTTTGAACACGACCTTCCCGGCCACCTGCTTCGCTACCCGATCAGCATCTCCGGTGACGGTGAAATTACCGAGCTTCCCGGGTTCGAGTTCTTCCCGGATACTAAGGCGCGAGTCCTAGGTAACAAGTCTAATTATCTCCCTCCGATCCTCACTACTTAAAAGTTACCACTTTTCCTAACTGTTGTAGAAAAGAAAATGCTGGCTTTCCTGTTCTTTCTCTTCAAGTTCTGCCTTTCCTACTCTGTTGTGATGGGAACGCAAGAAATCCTCGTGTTTGTGAAATGGTTTAATGTTTATGAATGTGATTGAAGTTGCTTTCTAATAAAACCTGGGACTTTGTTTGTAAGGGATTAAGGGTTGATTCATGTTATTTAATTTCTTAAAAAAATTATTTCAATCGGATTTTAAATTTTAAAATTCTGTATATAACAGGTCACATATTTTTTTAGTATACATATAAGATACAAAATTAAAATTTTGACTATAACGTATTTAAGTAAAATAAATGTATATACGAGTTGGGTTAAGAAAAAGACTAATGATACAGGTGTCAAATCCACGTGTCAAAAACTGAGTTGGAATCCGTAGTTGCGTTGTCCAGAGTGGGTCCCACCTGGATTTGACTGTTCATCCACTCGGATTCTGAGAACTCTTCCATGAGGGGGTTTGAATGAAAGTTGACTGCTTACCTCAGCGCCTCACCGGCTGCCACTGCCCAATCACCATCACCAATATTTAATATCTTTTTCCTTAAAATACTATTTATTTTTCAAATTAGTTTATAATATTTTTAATAAAATTTAAAACTTCATTTTGATCGAATTTGATGGGATAATAATATAGTAATAAAATCTAATATTTTTTTGATAATGGTGTATAAACCTACCTGTAATAAAACGAGTTAAAATGGACAATATCTATTAGCAGTGAATCTGAATTATTACAAATTGTATGAGAGAGATATTAAAATCAATTATGAGATCACACGTTGAATTTGAGACGAAAGAGAACGATGGTGGAAGTAACGGGATCCATATAATTAAAGTCTCCAATCGCCCTCACCCACTTGCTAACTAAAGTTGCTTTCCCAACTCAACTCCTCCACCCATTTTCTTCGATTGGTCAAGATACAAAAGAATCCCACAAACGAATTCAACTTTCGGCTTCCATTTTCCTCTTTCTTCTGTCCCCTTGTTCCCTCTCCTTCTTCGCCGGCCATGTCTTCCATTCTGAGCTCTCAAGGTCTCGTCATTGCCACTGCCATGGTCGTCTCCTCCACTGCTCTGTTTCTCGCCTTCTCTAAGCACCACAAGATCACTCCAACCCCTTCCAAATCCCTTCTACGTTCTTGCTTATCTTCTGGTAATTTCACTTTCTTTATTCATATTCTTTCCACGCTTTTCTTCTTTGATATCATATTGAATCATTGGTTGCCATAAATTTGACATCATATCGAAGATTTGGGGCTGAAACTTTTGGTGGGTTATTGTAAATTTGAATTTTTTAGCATGTTGTGGACATTTGGGGCTGTAAGTTTGGTGGGTTTTTGTGGTTAGATGATAAAAAGAGGGAGAAGAACAAGAACAAGAACAAGAAGAAGGGGAAGAAGGTGAGATTTGCAGAGGATGTGAAGGAGCCAAGAGGAAACGGAGAGGAGTACAGGAAAGAGCACGACGAGAAGATGGCTATGGCGGAAAGAAGAAGAAGAACAACATCAACAACAACGAGGAGCTGCAAAAATCAAACTCCTGCAAATCAACTTGCTTTGTACAATGGAATTCTTAAACAACGATCGCAGAGGATCCAATGTTCATTTTAATCAAAGCCTTTGCCTTTTCTTCTTCTTCTTCTTCTTCTTCTTTCGTTTTTGTTTTTCATTGTTTTCTGTGTGTTTCTGTTTCTGGGGATGGAATTAAAGTGATGTTTATATTAATCTACTCACCAATCTCCAAATTGGGGAGGTTCTGTTAATTAATCAAAAGTCAACTAAAAATTCACCTAAAAAATCTAAAATTTATCAAATAAGAGCAGATGAGATGAGTGGATATTATGTTGCATGACTTCTTTTTCTTTTTTTTAGATGATGTATAGTCCTCTTCAATTACGTTACGGTATGTCTCTCTTTTAATTTTTAGGCATGGTCTTATGGCGCAACGTTCACTTATCGTTACTATCCTCAAAGACTTACTCGAAAACAGAATCTACCTTATTGCACAATGAATTGTGACACTAACTTAATATCGTTGCGAGGATAACACGAACCTAAGTTAATCACTAACTCACTCGCCTTATGTAGGACTTGACATTTGAGACTTGGAGTGTAGATTGGAAATGGTTGTGGGCTATCCCATCTTGGACATTCAAACACCCCAATTGTGAGACTTGGCCCAGAACTCACTAGACATTCAATGACAACTAGTTCCTAGATACCCTCGTCTTAGCCAAGGGAAAGTATGTCTCAACTATCTGTTTGCCCACTTAGACACACCATATATTCGGAATTTGATATCGGAATTGGGAGAGTTTTGGGTGTCACATATGATATCGAGATTTGGGAGAGTTTTGGGTGTCATTTTGATATCGGAATTTGATATTGGGATTTGGGAGAGTTTTGGGTATCATTTGTTGAGTGACATATTGGTGAGAGTATTTTTTTATTAGTGATTGGTTGCTACCCGTGGATGTAGGGAAACTTCTTCCCTCCCAACCACATAAATATCTTGGTGTCTCTTTGTGTAATTTCGTTCATTGGTGTTGTGAGTACATTTGTTCCATTTTTAGTGCACAACAACATAACCGTACACCTCTCGAGATGAGGCATTTCCCTTCTACCAATTCTGAACTTAGGCACCTCTTGTGGCAAACGCTCAAAGACGTTAAGTTTTTCTTCTTGTCCTTTAATTTGATCTCCGTTCTTTTTCTAATATATTTAATCGAATTTTGACTCCTATATTATTTTATATAGTCTAAATTCTTTTATCTTCGCCTTTACTAAAGTATAAATCCAAATTACATAGGAGATTTAAATTTCACCGTTTAAAAATAGATTCAAAACAAATTATTCCTTTTATAGCTTAGATTTATTTAATCTATGTAATTAAAAAATTAAAATTTAGTTTAATTATAAAATTTTGTAAATTGATATAAACTTAAAAATAGTTTCTATAATTGGATAAAATATTGGTAAGTAGTTCTAACAATCTTTTTATTTATTTATTTATTTATTATTTAAGGGTAATTTAACTGTAATAATATTCTATGTTACCGCCATTTCCCTCTTCTTCCATTTCTTGCCATTAATTAAAAAAAACCAGAGAAGAAGAGGGAAGGTAGAAGAAGAAAGGGAAGCGGACAAGCTGAGCTTGTGAATCCTCGAAGAGGCATTTTCGATTTCAGGAAGCACGAGAGGGGCGACCCGTGATATTGTTCATTCAAGGTCGACCCACCTTTTTCCTCGAAAGTTTCAATTTCTTTTTCTCTCAATTTTTAATTTTGATCTATGGATTTCTCGAACTTGCTTTTGTTTCTGCCTTTAATCTTTACACCCGTGAATCATTTTCGATTTCAGAAGCGGCTCGGCTCTCTCGTCTTTTCTTCCTCGAATCGGATTTGGTGCTTCCTGGATCCGTTTTGGCCTTCTGGGTTTGCTTTTTAGACGTTGCCCTATACTTGGGGTAAGTTCTTTTTTGCTGTTTTGGATTTTGAATTTATTAGTTATTTGATTGATGCAATGGGCGTGGCATTGTTCTGTTCGCGAAATTGGTTATTGGCTGTGTTTGGTTTCTTAAAAGAAATTGTGGCAAAATGAAAGGAGGGATTTAAACTGGTTACCTAGCTGATTTCATCTTAATGATTGAACCATTTCTGCTGCTTTAATATTCATTTGTTTTGTTTCTAATGGACTTAATCTTAGCATTGAAATCCAAAGATCCAATGGCTTAAGGGGGATTCTCTTGAGTGTAATGGACATATGGGAAAATGTGAATAGCTATTGAATGAACATCATAGATATATCCCTGTCATGCTACAATGGCATCCTCTTTTTCTGCTTTTGGTTTTTTTTCATTGTTCACTATAGTTTTGAACTATGATGTGGCTGGTTGTCTAATGAGTTTCTTGATGAACTGTAGTTTGTAATAGAGCATTGGTTGCGTTGAAAACTATACAACTCTAAAGTTACGACCTCCGAAGTATATTGATCCAAGGCTTCTTGTAACACACTTTGGAAATCCCAAGCACGCGTGGTATGGACAACAGTGCTAACCAGTCACGGGGTGGTGATTCATCATTTAAAACCGAACAATTACAAGAGGATTCTAGCAAAGCTAACACTCCTGCATTTGTAAATCATGGTAAGTTCTCATTGCTGCTACAATTTCTTGCAACTTCGCTTCATTAACTTGTTGCCATAGCATTAAAGTCGAGAGCAAAGGCTCCAATGCCATTTTCTTAAATGTCAAGTCTCGATCCTGTCTGAGTTGATGCAACACAAACACCAAACAATCATCATGGCTCATCTAGTAGTCAATAACGGCAGTGAGAATAATAAGGAGCTCAGAGGGAATAAGTTTAAGTCATGGTGGCCACCTACCTAGAATTTAATATTCTACAAGTTTCCTTGACAACCAATGTAGTAGGATCAGACGGTTGTCACTTGCGATTAGTCGAAATGCGTGCAAGTAGTCTCAAATACTCAGCAAATATATATATAAGAAATAAATACTACGACCAATACATAGTTTGTAATTTGTTAGAATCCATTTACAAGCAAACGGTAAAGTAGCTGTACTACAATATAAAAAACAAATAACAAAAGCAATAGCGTTTTGAGGGGGCTCACTCTCCTACAATGAATTTCTATAGCACTATGTCTAACTCCACACTATAAATTCCTCTATTTGTAATCAATCCCACCCTAATAAAGTACCAAGTAATTGCAATTATGTCACTACTAACATTCTCAATGTAACTCTATTAATACTCTTACTCTGATATCATTATTCTATCGCTTTGCATACGAAAAGGTTGCAGCTTAGGAGTTTCTATGTTCAACAATATTGTCATTTGTTTAGGTGGTGGTTTGACAGTTTTAGTTGTAGGTCTTCTTCTCTGGAATCAAAATAGGCAGCAATGGCTGCTGAACAAAAAGGCCAACCGTAAAGAACAATTGATTCGAGAACCCAAATTGAGGTAAGTTGGTCACTGTTCTTTTCTATAACCAAAATTATTTATATATCCATAAATGCATCTGGAAAGTTTTGAGTTCTATTTATAGTGCTGTAATTAGATTATTGGCAACCCATTTATTCCAGTCCATACTGAAAACAATTTATTAGTTACTTCTAGATACTCCCATTGACAACTTCTAAATGATGTCTCATTTTCTAGAAGCATTTATGCGACACCTAGATGATCTTTTATTCCATACATTTTATGTATGTTTTCCAAAACATTGTTACGAGTTTCTATGATGCTTTTCTTCTAATGTGGCCATGATTTCACATCCCTACTAAGTGTTTGGTCAAGTAGGCCTATTAGAAGGTTAATTCTTCTATGGAATTTCTTTTATGGAGTTTGTTTGGAGAACTTTTCCCAAGACTTTTTTTTCTTGTTTTCTATTTTCAGAAGTGTTTTTAATAATTAGGATTGTATGGAAGGTAAAAGGTCAATGATATTGTTGATATTCAAATCACCATTCTCAAACGAGCAAGTTTCTTTGTTTGGAAAAAGAATTTTTTTTATAAAGAAGTTCCAAACTAGTCTAGTTCCAAGCATTGACATTTACTTCAATGAAATCATTCGTTTCTAAAAAGCCTTGATATTCTATTTCAATACTTCAACATGTTGATACTTGTCAAACTGAAGGCTTGCTGGATGATAAGAAACCAGAAAGAAAAATTGGTTATAACACTCTGGTTTCTCTGAATCGGGAGTTGATTATTCTTGAACTTTGTTTGTTGCATCTTTGTCAGCACTCATTGTCTCTGCATGCCTAAATCCTTCTGGCTTTGCAGTTGGAATGCAACGTACGACAGTTTGTTGGGAAGTAACAAGCCATTCCCGCAGCCTATACCGCTTGGTGTAAGTGTCCATCATATCCAACTTATATGCTTCTTCGCTGATCGAGTTTTCTGATTAATCTTGCCTGGTTGGTCCAATCTTGAAATCTACAGGAAATGGTCGATTTTCTCGTGGACATATGGGAGCAAGAGGGGCTGTATGATTGAATATCATGGATGGAATGTAAGATATTTGAAGGTTAAGCTAGACTCCGGAAGCTCCCTGAACTGCTGAACTAGAACTATAACATCTACAGGTTCAATTAATTGTTAAGTTGGCAACTTGAGCCAATACCAAAATGTAGCATTCTGCAAAACCAAAACAAAAAAACAAGTATCAATCCATATTATTACTGATCACTGTTCAGCTTGTTGCTCACGCGTCTTGTGTTCTTCCCTTGGGGTAGATTTTCTTTTAATCAAGTTCTTGTCTGAAACTTGAGTTGCTTCCTTCTGTTGAAATGGTGGACTGTGTAGAGAGAGACAAATGTGTTGATTGTTTCCAATATTTTATCCATAATTTGTTTCATTATATATAAAATTTTGCTCCCTTCTATGAAAAATGTTTATCTCAACAGCCATATCACTATTAGGATTCAAGTAAAGCAAGATACACAGCACCAACAAAGCGTGCCACTCTATAGTCTTGTCAAAGACAAAATTTGGTTACCGTACATGTACAATCATTTTTCAGAGTACAGAGGACGGTTGGATGCCGTGTGATGAGAGGACAAGAGAGCGTTGACTTTGAACGAGAACCGTTGATGATTCTCAATCAGGTGGTGTCAGTGTTTCTACATCAATCATGTGGCGTTCAGATATGCTCTCTCTTCTTCTTCTTCTACAATTGTAAATGTTGATGTGATGATGCAGAGACAGAGGATCTATGGTTTTGCTTTCTTTTCTCCATGAATATATATATATTTTTTAATTTTATTTTACTGTTTGATTTGCAGAGACTGAAAATGGAGGAACTATTTGTGATTGACGGCCCCCACTTTATTTGATTCCTTCTAGTTTTGAACTCACCAATGCCTTTATGAGTTTAATATTTTCCATGGAAGCTTTGACAAAATCTGCTGTTCTTCTATTCCACCACTGTTTTGGGGAAGCTTTTCACTTTCTCATCCTTTCCACAATGCCCACCAATTCCTTATATTGAAATCTCTTCCTTTATCTCTCATAAGACACAGAGCTTCTCTCACTCAGCTCCAATGGCTTCCCCAAGCAATCTTCTGAAACTCGTCATCGCCGTTGCTGTGGCGGCTGTCTTCTCCCTCTTGCTTCCTCTTCCTGCATTATCAGGTAAAGAAAGAACACCCTTTTAGCCGTTTTTTCATCAGCTGAAGAAAAAATTATAACTTTTGTGTGTCTCAGCTCCGGCAGTGGGAGGCGGCGAGAGTTTGTGGAAGAAGATGGTGTTGGGATCGAAGCCGCCAAGATGCGTAGGAAAGTGCTTGAATTGCCGGCCGTGTACGGCGTCGCTGGTGGTACCGGAGCACCGTGAAAGGAAGGGGTTTGAAGCTGATTTGAATCGTAGAGAAGAGGATGATAGCTATTATCTGTTGCATTGGAAATGTAAATGTGGGAATAAGCTTTATCAGCCATGAGAATATATGGTTTTCTGGGTTTTGCCATTAATGGAGTTGGGTGTTGTTTATGGGATGGTGGTTTTTATGTACAGAAATGAACATGTTTTAGCTTCTTTTGTACTCTGTTTTTCTTCCCCCCCCCCCCTGTTCTTTTGGTCCATTTTTGTCTGCCTTGCTGCCGTTTTCCAAGTTTTTGGAATTGGAATCACAATTTGTGTGGATGAGTTTATTTCATTTATGTTTATATTGAATACATCGACTTTTCATATAATATTCTAATGATTTTTTAAAATTAAGTCAAATGTTAAGTTAATGCATGAACATGTATGAATTGTTGTCACTCGCTTTAAAAGTTTCATTTTAGTGTCAACTATTGATCAATCTTGTCTGATAGCAACTTCATACAACATCTAGATAACTCTCCAATTGACATAGTACCGATTAAAAAGAATGCATTAAAAAATGGTAATAATGTTTTAAAATTTGCCTCTCAATTAAGTTTTGCAAATTTTCACTCCAAAACATTCGGACGATGAGTCATCTGGGTCCCGACAATCGAACATCGGACAATCTCACTTCACTAAAACACCCATTTAATCCCAACGACATTACCGTCCCTCCTCCACCACTACTCCAGGAAAAACTCCGCCCCATCTCCGCCGCACTCGGCGGCCTCGGCACCGGACAAACCCCTTCCAGCATCTGCACCACCTTCCTCATTGGCGGCCGAAGACTCGCCTCCTCCTGAACGCACCATACCGCCACCTCCACCACCGCCTCGACTCGCCAGTCCTCCTCCGTCACCGTCGCTGCCACTCTCGGGTCCAACACCCACCTACCCTTCTTCTCCGCCACCATCCTCGCCGCATACGACGGTAAATGCGCGCTCTCCGGAGACTGATCAGCGTCGTAGCACTTCCTGTTGGCAACAATCTCGAGAAGAACCATGCCATAGCTGTAGACATCGCTCTTATCGGATATGGCGAGGTTCGTGATCCACTCCGGCGCCATGTAGCCTCTAGTTCCTCGAAGCTGAGTGAAGATATTGCTCTGTTCTCTGTTAACAAGTTTCGCCATGCCGAAATCGGAGAGCTTTGGCGTGAAATTATCGTCGAGGAGGACGTTTTCCGGCTTTATATCGCAATGGATTATCTTTGATTCGCATTCTTGGTGAAGGTACGCCAAAGCCCTCGCCGTACCTGTTTGATCAACCAAATTAGAACATTCATATAATTTAGAACATTCATATAATCTAGAGTTCGAGATGTTACCCAATGCAATGTTGAATCTTGTTTCCCAATCCAAAAACCCATCTTCTTTCCCATTAAAAATCCACTTATCCAACGATCCATTGCTCATATACTCATAAACCAGAAGCCTATGAAGATTTTCAGAACAGAACCCTTTGAGCTTCACCAGATTCACATGGTGGATCCCGCCGATCAAACTCACCTCTGCTCTGAATTCTCTCCCTCCTTGCCCAATTTTCTCCAGTTTCTTCACTGCCAATCTCGTCCCATCTCCGAGATCCCCCAAATAAACCGATCCGAATCCCCCGTGCCCGATCTTCGTTGAGAAATTCCTTGTCGCTCGCCGGAGCTGTCGGTAGCTGAACCGCATCGGCCCGCTGGAAACCTCCTCGAGAAACTTGTCTTCCTCTGTTGCATCTTCAATGGAGCTTAACAATTCCTTCACTTTCCGCCGGTAGAACAAAAAACAGAGCAACCCCATGAAGGACAGAGCCATTGCAGCTATAAGAATACTCATGAGAACGATGTGCTTTCTTCTGTTTGGAGTTGGCGTAGGCGTTGTTTCGTTATTGTTGCTGTTGATGGGGAGCTCTATTTTCATATACGAAATGTACCCATTGGAGCCCTCGTCGGATCGCTGTAAACTTCCGATCTCGTCGAAGAAGAAGCAATCCCCTGAATTTGGTTCGAAGAACATCACATTGCAAGAGCAATTACTGGCGCAGGCTGCTTTGCAATTGTTCAAATCGGAGTTCAGCGCAGGAATGGAGAAACGAAGAGCGAAATAATCAAGGTTTTTCCCCAAATACAGAAGCTCGGTTGAATTGGATCTGCCATTGCAGGAGATTGAAGGGAATTTACAGTTGAATTTATCGTCGAGAATCGTGGAAGCACACTGGCATCGGTTGTCGAAGTAACATATGAAAAGAGGATCACAAGGCTCCGGAACTCCGCAACTTTCAGCCGGAATTCGAATGGGCTCCGGCGGAGCTGATTTTCCGCTCTCCAAATTGTGAAAAGCAATCGATCCATCGGTGTTTAAAACAGAAACCCATCTGTCTTTCCAATTCGATTGCCAGAAAAATTTGAATCCCCATAACAACTCCCCATTCTTGCCGAAGAAATTCCAAGAATTTGACTCCATAATCGCAAACAGAACATACCCATCTCCGCCGTTTCCGCTGCCAGAACCGGCGGCGGCTCGCTTTATTTTCCGGCCATCATTCGACAGAGCCCAATAGACTTGAGGATTCTGATAACCCGCAGACAGAACCAAATCTCCTTGTTTAAATTCCAAAAAACTCGAGAGATTATTGTCATTTGAGTAACTTTCAAGCTTCATTCCTTCCCAGAAAACCTGGCCGGGCAAAAGAGTATTGGTCGGAAAATGGAAGCTCTGCCAAACGAAGCTTCCATTTTTGCTCCTCAAAACCAAATTTCCAGAATCCAAAAGCTGCATTGAAACAACGCCGTGTCGGGCCGTCTCAGTCGACCAAATTGGAGCCGAATTCGGGCCAAATTGATCCAAATAAGTATCCCCTGTTTCATCGAACACGAACAGAGCAGAGTCGTTGACCGGAAAATCTCTGTTCGCCGTCCAGATTACTCTGGAACTGAGAATGTGAGTAATTCCGAGTGAGAATGTGCCGTCGTTGGCACCGGCGTAGAAGCCGAGAGCAAAAATGGAGGCTTTGGACAACAGAAAAACTCCATTTGTGTGGTTTAATTCTGATGCAGAAGCTTTGAAGCCTGGATTGAGCTTGTCAATCTCTTGGCATTTGACAATGTCGATGTGGGATTGAATCAGAAAAACGAAGAAGAAGAAGAAACTTGCGATTTTGAATAAACCCATCAAGAATTAGCTTCAAACTTCATTGATTCAATTGGTGAAAGTTGAAGATGAACAGAAGGAAAAAAAAAATAGAATTATGTTCCAATTTAATCTTTTTAATGCTATATATATTGTGATTAAGATTATATTTTGTGTAAAACAACTAAAATTGGGGACTAAATATAAAAGGTAAGTGTAGTTTAAAAAAATTATTAAAAATATCAAAGTTAGCGAACAAATAAATAAAATATGAAATTTTGTTCATGATTACTTTGACTTTTGATTTGACAAAAATAGTTTGACTTTAGTTTCAAGACAAATGCAGCTTTCTTATATTTGGTAAATATTAAAAAAAAAACATTAATTTCAATATTCAAACTTGTATAAAACAGTAGGATATAAGTCAACGAATTTTAGTTAGTAATTGTATAATTATTATTTTTTAAAAATTAGCGAGTAATTAAGATGCACTTGAATAAACTTTAATGTTGCATTAATTGTTGTATTAGTTAACCATTAATATCGCTAATGACATGCCACGATGTGCATAACATGCTACTTTTATAATGTTATATCACGATGGAATAATAATTAATAAAATAGTGGGCGTGGACTGCACAATCTCTTATAAATTATTTATAAACCACACCACTTTAAAATAAATAAAAGAGAATTTAAAATAATTAAAAAAGTGAAGTTACCAATTTGACCTTAAAGTTTTTAACTTTATCTTATAATATTAAATTTATAATTTTATGGTCTAAGAATAATTTTGTCAAGTCATAGATCTCGAACTTAGGTTGCCTGAGCTGAGAGAAAAAATATATGTACGTGGCAAACACTTTTCTAAGTTTTTTTTCTTTCTCTATATTTCAGGTAACTATTCATGCCCAGGATCTATATTAGGATTCAAAAACGGATGTCGCCGACATTCCATTGCATGTCCCGTGACATGGTTATATGCACGAGTCATTTCAACATGTTTTGTCCTTACTAGTATGCATCCTAAAAAGATTTTTAGTAATTCACCCAACATAAAAATTTATTCAAGTAAAACACGCTTAACCATGAAAATCCTATGATTTTGCTATCGAAATGATAGATGTACCTTATTGATATAGATAATGATGACATTGTTGAAGGGTCACTAGTAGATACTTGTATGAATTTTTGGATAATGAATGGTAACGGGGAATGTCCCAAATTACCCATATATATATATATATATATGTATGTTGGCATTGGTGGAAGACAGAGAAAATCAATCAAGTATTCCTTCGTAGTTTTTACAAAGTTCTATTCTCTCAAATAATTCTACAAAATTTATCTATCGTCACTAACATACCTAATATGAGGTCATGGATAGATATTTCTCTTCAAATAATCTCTCTGTGGATGACTCGAGGATATCTTTGGAGATATGAACATATTCCGTGCTTTTGAAAACATTAATCTCAACCTCGAAAACACAATTTTTTCTACGTCAACTAAAAGTGAAACGAAACGACAAGGTATCGATAGAGAACATAATAAAGCTCTACACATTAGAGTGATGACTAAAGAATGAAAATCCATTCGGGAAGAGATTAATATGATTTAAAAAAATGAAAAACTAAACAAAAAATTGTTATAAAAAAAAAAAAAATCGATATATATATATATAATATATATATATATCTCTCCTTTTGGAACAAGAATGGAACCTGAAACCTAAGCCAAGAACAGGTTTAGAACACAGCAGAACACGGTCAGATTCGGACGTGAAACTCACATTTCAATTCCCTTAAAAGCAACGTTATCCAAATGCGTTCACGTCCGGATTGACAGGTGGCTGGAAGACCGTCACCACGACCTTCCCACGCTCCTCCTCCTTTCCAAGCCCTGATAGCAAAGTGCGGGAAAACACATATTCCTTTCCATTTTAAAAATAAAAAAATTTTAAAAAGCAAAAAAATGGAATTTTGGAATTTTGGAATCTTTGGATTTTCTTTCTTATCCAAAGCAGGAGAGAGAGAGAGAAACAAAAAAGATTGGATTTTTAAGTCAGAATCCCTACACAAGAACAGTTCCTAATCCCTGAACTCGCCTCTCTGATCTTGACACGTGGTTGATGATTAAAGAATTTGAAGCTCACCCTTCTTTTGATTGGACAAAGTGTCAGATGGGTTTTGGATTTTGAACTTTGCCTTTGCGGTGAAGGTAAGTTTAGCACAGCCCTTGTGGGATTTTAGGACTAACCACCAAAAAGGCACACCTCAGAGACTCTCTCTCAACGGTTTGTGTGTTCTTTTTTGGCCACAAGACCAAAAACTGGAGAGAAGGGAGAGAAGTTAGACAGATTTCTAGAGAGAGAAAGTGAGAAAAATGGAGAACAAAGAGGAAGCCATGCTGATAGTGGAAGATGAAGCTCAAACTAAGAGTAGAGAAGGAGTAGCAGCCATGGATGAAGTCATTTCTGTGGAGCTTCCTGCCCCACCTACTTGGAAGAAACTGGTCTCTCTCTCTCTAAAAGTTTGAAATTTTCTCTAAATTTAGGCCCTTTTTTTGCCAGAAAGAAGCTTTTATCCTCTTGATATTGCAGTTTTTGTGTCTGTTCTTGTGAATTTCATCTCAAATGTTCTGTTTTTGTGTTAAAGTTTGTGTTTTTTTTGGGGGGGTTTAGAACTCTGTTTTTAGCTCTAGGGCTTGTTTGCATGGTTAGGGTTCTGTTACATCCTTAATTCCTTGTCTTTTGAAAGCTGTCTTGTTGAACAGTCCATTGATTCTTTTCTTGTGGGTAGAATTGTTGAAAAATTAGGCGTTTCTTTGGTGCTTCTTTTCCCTGAGTTCTTCATTTTTTTTTTTTCTTTTCAAAGATTGGGTATGAAATGTAAGCTTATGGGGAATCTTTTGGATTTTGAAGTGAAAAACGAGCTTCTATGAAGTTCTAGATGATGAATACCTATGAAAGAGCTTCTGTTTGATTGAAAACAAGGAACTGTATGTACCATTTGACCTGCTGGAGTGTTTTACTTAAGAGTGTTAACCTGAGATCCCACGACGGTTGGAGAGGAGAACGAAACATTCTTTATAAGGGTGTAGAAATCTCTCGCTAGCATACGTGTTTTAAAAACCTTGAGAGAAAACCCGAAAGAGAAAGTCCAAAGAGGACAATATCGGCTAGCTGTAGCCCACGGTTAAGTTTTCTAGGCTTCTCGAATGATAGCACGTGGTGTCATGTGTTTGATATTCTTGATCTTGTGTGCTCTTGAGATACTTGGAAAGCTTCATCTTGGGAAGCACTTTTGAAACTGTCGGTGCCTAAAGCTGTCTGCTCTTTAGGGCTGCAATAGAAAACTGAATCCAATGCTTTTGATCTGAGGCCTACATGTTTTTAACCTAAGTTCAGGCTGTTTTTGAAGTGTTATATGAATCATGCTGAGGAGTTTTGTGGCTTTTATTGTATTAGCTGTGGTGACCAAATGATTGTTTGAACTATGAAGCTTGTCAGTTCTTGATGTTTTATCAATAGTCCTATTGTAACACGGTTTGCTGTTGGAGATTGCCTCGATTCTTCGAAACAGTGAAATCTACCACGGTTTTTTCCCCACGATGTTGAATATTGATTGTATTAATCTAAGCTCACCACTAGTAGATATTGTCCGTTTGGCCTGTTACGTATCGCCGTCAGTCTCACGGTTTTGAAACGCGTCTATTAGGGAGAGGTTCCACACCCTTATAAGAAATGCTTTATTCCCCTTTTCAACCGACGTAGGATCTCATAATGATAATTGTTCAACTCGCCCCCATCCATCCCTGCCATCTTTTCCATGTTTGTTCTTTCTGGATTTTTCATAACATGTTCGGGTGGCTTGATATAACAGCCGAAACCAACCGCTAGCAGATATTGTTCTCTTTGGGTTTTCCCTTCCGAGCTTCCCCTTAAGGTTTTAAAACGTGTTCATTAGGTAGAGGTTTCCGTACTCTCATAAGGAATGCTTTGTTCTCCTCTCCAACCGATATGGGATCTCACGCTTGAGACTAATGCATGTTGTATTATGAAATCTGCCAAACTCTCGACCTTTAGCGTATATGGATCTTCTCCTTTTGGAAGATTTTCATGTTATGACTGACAAATTGTTTTTCTTGTTTCAGTTCATACCCAAGAGGGCAGGTACACCAAGAAAGAGTGAGATTGTATTCATTGCTCCAACTGGTGAAGAAATTGGTAACAGGAAACTGCTGGAGCAGTACCTAAAATTGCATCCTGGTAGTCCTGCAATATCGGAGTTTGATTGGAGCACGGGCGAGGCGCCTAGAAGATCAGTAAGGATTAGTGAGAAGGTTAAGGAAACTCCACCTAAAGAGGAGCCTCCGAAGAAACGGAGCCGAAAATCCTCCGGTTCGAAGAAAGACATGAAGGAGGAAGCTGATGCAGTTCCTAAAGTTCCTGAAGAAGTTGAAATGAAAGATGCAGAGGGGAATGACAAGGCGGGTGGCTATGTTGGTGAAGCTGAAAATGGTCAAACAGAACACCAGGCAGCCACCGAGGAGATGGCTCCTGAGGTGAAAGAAGATGAAAAGCAAGTCCTCAAGGGAAGTTCCGATGTCGATGTTAACTCTGAATTTGTCGGTAAAGACGAAACGGATAAGAATGGTGGCGAAACCGACGGTCGAGGTTACATTGAAGAAGCTGAAAAGCAAGGAAATGATGTAGCAGAAACAGTCTCACCCAATGAGCATACTGTTGCTACTGAGGTTAACAAATCTGAAAAAGAGACAGACCAAGAAAACAACAATCCCGACAAGGATGACAACGATCCTGGCAATGTCGTTGTTCTACAAGCGAAAGGAGTCGTCGAGGAAGAGAAACAAAATGATCTGAATGAAGCAGCAGCACCAGAAGACAATGAGGCTAAGTGTAATCACGACGTTTCAACAAATGGTGCAGCTCATGCCGAGGACCGAAGCATCAAAGATGATAACATGGCAAAAGAAAACGGGAAGCTTTAGCTAAGACAGACCGAGGAATAGATGCAGCAGTGCATACCACAACCGCCTGCAGACTGCTGTATTATGCCTACTTCCCATCACCATTTGGCGGTCTTGACACCAGATCTTTGTAGCAACTGCTTACTCTCTTCCACGATGACAGTAACTTTAGTATGTCTTAGCTTTAGTTTTACGAATGTATTTACCGAAAAGAGAACTCTTAGTTGTCAGAATTAGAGTTTAGAATCTGCAGCTTTTGTTGTTTTTGCTTACCGAACTTCTTTTGACTGTAGAATGTTACTGTTAATCAACCTTCTAATTTAACTTCGGGTGAAACATGTTCTTCTGTTTCTTACTGCTGCTGTTTTTGCTCTTTTCTTTCTCAACGATCCAATAATAACTTCCATTCTGTAACAGCCAAACTCCACCACCACTAATAGATATTGTCCGCTTTGGTCCGTTACGTATTGTCATCAGTCTCATGACTTTAACGTGCATCTACTAGGAAGAGGTTTCCACATTCTTAAAAGGAAGACTTTGTTCTCCTCTCCATTACCCGAAGAAGTAGAACATCATGCTGAAACAAAGCAAGATGGATATTCCAAACCCCATCCATGAAACATGACAGAGAAAATGGAGGTTTTTCCAAGAAAAGCAAGAGATGAAAAGAAAGGGAAGAATCTATACTATGCCTCCTTTAAAGAACTCCATAGGAATAACGAATCTTCTTCCATCTCATCAAAATTTGAATCATGTTTAGACAAAGGCTAAGGAATCTGAGAGAAGGAAAGGATTGCATCATTCAAATGATGTTGTGCTCCTATTTTTTGGCCAACCAAGTTAGTTTTTCAATACCCATTAGCTACAAAAGGAACTCTTTTTCTTTCTACTTTTGCCTCCCCACAAACAAAATGGCTACTCATTTCCTCCCTCCTCCTGCAGTTTCAAGGAAGATGTTGTGGCATTTATGAACCCTCTTTTGCAATTCTTCTCCCTCATTGCCTCTCCTTTTTTCATTAATGCATACCCATTCCTTGCTTACAACAATGACCCTCAGCATATTGACATCAACTATGCACTCTTCAACAACAACAACCGCATTTTCGACCCCAAAACGTTCGACGCTCAAGTCGATGCAGCTTATGCTGCTCTCCACAATGTCGGCTTCCCCAACATGCCAGTCATCGTTTCCGAGACTGGCTGGGCTTCTCATGGGGACGAGAATGAAGCCGGTGCGACGTTGGAAAATGCAAGGACATACAATAAAAATCTACTTAAGAAGTTGATGAAGAAGAAGGGAACTCCTTACCAACCCAAAACTGTTGTCAAGGCTTACGTTTTTGCTCTCTTCAACGAGAACTCAAAGCCCAGGCCTACGTTCGAGAGGAACTTCGGCCTCTTCAAGCCTGATGCCAGCATTGCATATGATATCAGCGGTTGAGGATTGTTGGGAGCGAGTCCCACATTTGCTAATTGAGGGAATGATCACGAGTTTATAAGCAAGAAATACATCTCCATTGGTACGAGCTCTTTTGGAAAAACCCAAAACAAAGCTATGAGAGCTCATGCTCAAAGTGGACAATATCATATCATTGTGGAGATCCGTGATTCCTAATCCTCAAACCTTCCTCTGCACCACCCTCATCTCTTCTCTCTTTCAAGGTAACATTTTCCATTTCAACTCATTTCTATGCCCTTTAAGCTTACCTAATTTCTGTTTCTTCTTCTGTCCAGAAACTTGGATTTGGAGGCTCATATTCAATGCTTCTCACACCCACCGATGCTCCTCTGATGCTCGTTCTTGCATCATAGAAGAAAGCTCCAACAACATCAAAACATCTTTAATTCTTTGACTAACTCATTCATTTTTTTTCAGCGATGTAACAATTCCATTCCACTCTCTAATACTGGTTGTGGTGTTCGTTTTAGATTTATATTTCATGTGAGGGAATCATTTTGAATTCTTCTTTTATCAAATTTCAAAACAAAAAAGAAGTTTATACAAACAAACAAACAAGCAACCCCTTAAAGCAAAAAGAAAAAGAAAAAAAAAAGGCCTCAAAATCAATTAAGGGTTCGATTTGGTTCGCTGCTAGAATAAACCCCATCATCTCCGTTGATCCGATCAAGAACAAGCACCAAGGCCATGGCAAAAGCTCCATTAAAACCAGGCTTCACACAGAGAGAAAAAACATCTTTTCCAAGCAACACGTTGGTGGAAGCATCAACTTTCCTCTTAATCTCAGCCACTGTCTCTTTCTTCGCGTTCAAAATTTTGCATAAACGTTGCCCAAAAGACCCCTCGATTTGATACTCCTCGCTGGAATTTCTGTACATCTCCACCGTGACACTCGACCTTCCTATAACCGACGACCGCCGCACTCCGAAGATCGGTCTTTGACCGTTGATTCTCTCATGGAGATACCCTTCCCACCGTTGATGCAAACTCGGCCTCTGTTTTCGTAGGAAAAAACAGAGTAAAAACCCCATAACACAAAACTCGAAAAACAAGAACCCAAATCCAAAATTACCCAAAACCCATTTGAATTCAACAAAAAAATAAACAGAAATGAGGCATTACCTTGCGGCGGAGGGTGAAGAGGCATCGTCCATGAGGGTCCATTAGAACGAGCTCATCTTTGTAACGAGAATCAGGGCCGTATGAATCGACTCGAAAGACGAGTCTACCATAGCAATCGTAAACGGTAAATCCATCTCCGGCGAAGAAGAGAGAGGTTTTCATGACAGTGAGATGGGTGGTAGTGGTGGTGGCGGTGGAGGAGGCGATGCCGACTCCTTTATGGAAAAACTTAGAGTCATCAATGGAAGAAACCTTCATTTTAGTGGGTTTTTGGTGATACAGAGAAATGGGAAGCTCTGTCCTCTTATAAAGAAGATAGAATGCGAATAAGTGGAGGAGAAAGAGAAAGGGACAGAGGTTGAAGGGTCGGCGGGACGGCTCAGCAAAGAGAACTCGAGAAGAAATGGGCGAGTGATAGTGGTGGGTCTGGTTTGAAACATGAACGCGGAGGTTAAACTTTGGCGCGTTTCAAGTGTTCGTATTTCATTTTTGGTCTTGTAAAAATATTGTTTTTTTTTTTAAAAAAAATTTATTTTTATCAAGTAGAATTGAGAATCATATTCCAAATGGAGATCTAGTGTATCTCCATTAGAGTCATACCCTAAATTCGACTTAGAGAAAGTAGGTTGTGATCTCATACATCAAAACAAATAAAAGGAGATTCTCAATGACAAGTATCATGATATGATCGAGGAAAATGATGCATATCTAACTCATCAAAAGTGTGCATTGAAGCTAAATCGAGGTATACACAAAGTTCGAGAGAACCAAACAACACAAGTATCAAAGACAAGCTCGAAGAGGGTCGAGCAGGGCTCCAGACCACAACTTCAAAAGTCTAGGTTTCTTCTTTCATCTCGACAAGTTATTAGGGCTCATTATTCCTTGCGACTTGGATGTACTCTCTAGAGAAAAAGAATTGAATTTGGATAAAGTTTAAAAAGGGAAATTATTTACATCTGATTTTTTTCGATATTAAGTTATATTTTATTTAAATTTTTATTTATTGAAAATTACATTATGACGACAGAGATTAAATGAAAAAGTGATTACATATATATAAAGAATTAAGATTTGGAAGATATTATGGCATATTTATCTTTATTAAAAAAAAACATAGTAGATGGAATATTAATTGGTTGAGTTGATAAGATAATAATGTAAACGTGATGGATATGAAGAAATAGGGATATTTATTAAGTCACACCATGCGTGGACAGATGAACAAATTATTATATGCTTTTTGGCGTTTTGGGTTTCATGGGGACACGTCACTTTCTAATAATTTCTTAACTGTTTAATTAAATAAAAATAAAAAAGTATATATATTACATAATTGTATTATAAAAAAGATATATAATTGGAGAGAAATTTATCCCTCAATTTAATTCATAAAATTTTCATTTATTTGAATTTTAACCATTTAAATAAATTTATAATTCAACTAAATCACCTTTGATAAAAAAAAAAAAAAAATATATATATATATATATTATTAATGTGAAATAATTTGTATGAATGTTTCTAGAATGTTTAATATTTTAATTACATGATGATGAGGAAACATATTCGTGTAATTAATATTTCCAATTATAATAAAATGTTGCTAAGTTAGGGTAGTTTAGGGACATTAATGGAGGACAGTAGAAGGCCACGTCCGTACGAGCTTGAAAGCAATGCCTTTATGGTGGAATTTTGGAGACAAAATAAAATATTTATTTTGAGCCACAAACCCCTAATCTTCATTTATTTATTTTCTAGCCCTAAGTTGACCCTATTTTATGCCCTTTTAAACTTTATTCCCTTCCATCATATAACTCTAATTTCTTTTTATTACATTATAAATTTTTTTAAAATTGTATCCATTTAATATTTGATTTTGTTAATATATGGAAACTTTAAATTATACTTCTAAATATTTATTTGATGTCGTGTTCATTTAACTATTTTCTTTTCCAGATGTGATATGATTGGATGGAGAATAATTCAAGTACATAAGCAACAATAATATCATTTTAGATAAATTTTCTTTTTTTGAAAAACCTATTTTGTGTTAAGCTAACAACAAGTTTTGGAAACCCTAATGTGAATGTATGAGTAATTAAAGTTTAGTATTGATGAGTTGAGTGTTTGATTCGAGGGTTTCTTCTTCCACCACATGTTTTGACCTCAAATCAATGCTTCAATGGCTACAACTCCCAATCCCTTATGCTTCTTGTCTTGTTCATTTCTAAACCCTTTAATCTCATGTTCATATGCATAATGAGACCCTAATATTCGATCATTACTTGCTCTATATGTCCATATCATACTACATCTATTACACTCCACCCAATTTTCAACCTCAAACACTTCTCGTAACAGTCTAAGTCTACTCGAAGTAGATATTGTCAACTTTGACTCGTTACAAATGGTATCAGTACCAGACACTGAGTGGTGTGCCAGCGATGATGCTGGCCCCGAGAGGAGTAGATTATGAGATCCCTCGTCGGTTGGAGAGGGGAACAAAGCATTCTGGGTGTGGAAACCTCTAGCTCTCTAGTAGACACATTTCAAAACAGTAAGGGACGTAAAGGGCTGAAACAATCGATAGGGATAGGGAAAGTTGGTGAGGATATCATTAGTTTGAATGTAACATTACAACCACAACCAGTTTTTGCTTGATAAAAGTGGATTGAAAACCAAGAAAAGAAAAGGAAAAAGAAACAGAAAGGAAGAAAGAATTATAACTCTACAAAAAGAAAAGAAAAGAAAAGATGTTTGAGGTGAAGAAGAGAAAAAGTAGGGTTTTCCAATGAGCCATTCCATTGTTCTTTTTCTGATTAAGATCACTTCTTCTTCTTCTTCTTCTTCTTCTTCTTCTTCTTCTTCTTCTTTTTAGTTTCTGGGTTCAATTCTGTTGCATTGGGTACCTAACTCCTGCGCCCAACACTCTTTGCTGCTCTATCTGCATCACATGCAAATTACAAAAGCTAAATGAAAAAAAGCTGCCTTTTTTGTGTAACAATTTTTATACAACAACTTTCATCTTTCCCTATCTTCAACTCACCTGAAACAGCTCGTGAAGTTTGCTCTTTAAATAACAATACTCGTGTTCAAGTACTTCCAATGCTCTCAAACACCTGCCAATTGTCCACTTTGAGCATAACTACTCATAAGTACTCATGGTTTCTCTAAAAAGCCTCGTAACAATGAAGATGTATTCCTTACGTATAAATGATTCCACTTTGAAAATCTCAAAAAAGGTGCCCAGATGATGTGTTTTTTTTGAATGATGATAAATAAGAAGATAAAAAGGATAAAAATGGGGGGTTTTGATTAAATAATTACCCAGCACGGTTGCTTTGTTCAGAATTGGCTCGAAATGCAATGCAAACATTTCTGACTCTGTTAGCTCCAATGCTTGAGCTGCTCCCCATCAGTTGATTCAAATGGTTTCCCATCTTCTTGTAATCAGTCAGCTCTCTCTCAATTCTGTCCAATCCAAACAAAAACCCTAACCCCCATCAACAACCTTTCCTTATTCTTATTCTTTGTGTGTCTGTGCATGAGAACTACAAAACAAAGACTTACAACAGCGCTCTTAGGTTTTTCAACAGCCGCTCCGATTCTTGAAAGTAAATGTTCACTACTTCCGATACGAAATTTGGAGAGCTTTCATCTTGAAGCTGTTGTAGCTGCAAGAATTGTTCGTCTAATACTCCCTGCATTACAAAAATTGAATTTAGTGATGAAAAACGTTTAATATGAGCAAGAATTTTCAAATTCATTCGTGTTGGATGAAACTCACACATCTACTAATTGCTACGAGGTCTTTTGGAGAGGCTAAAAGCAAAGTAATGAGAGCTTATGCGGAAAGTGGACAAAATCTAACCATTCGAACATCATTTCCTCCCCATTTCAAGCGTGATTCAAGCAAAACATTTAATATGGTTCTAAAATTTGAAGAAACACATCAAACCCTTGTTAGAAAAATCATTATTACACAAAAAAAATTTCATTTTTTTGAGTAATTGAAGCAAAACCCTTGAACCCTTATTGAAGAACAATCGCAATTGAAGCAAAACCCTTGAATCCTTATTGAAGAACAATCGCATTGTAAAGGCACCAAATGAAAAAGTGAAAAATAAAAGAGAGAGAGTTTATGAAATTTACTTGGTGGAAGAGTAGGGCGAGTAAGCGGTTCATGTCGGCTCGCAACCTGTCGGCGCTGAAGCCAAGCATCCACAGAGGCAGACCCGTTTTGGCGGCTGATCGACAAATCCAAAATCCTCAAACAAACAAATCAGCTATGAATCACTGTCCTTAAACCTTCGACAAAAAACTGAAAGCTTTTGCCTTTTGGGGTTACCCTTCACCGAATTGACATCCCACTCCAGTATTTAAAGGCACTGCCCCGGAATGATCCAACCCCATCTCCCACACGCCAACCCACACCGTGGACTACACAACCCAGTCACCTCCCTCCACGTGTTGGAGAGTGGACTTCACTTCCCAAATCGGAGACAATTTATGGAGGACTCAAGGCGTGCTGGTTTGGGACTTGTTCGAGGTAAGAATGTGGGGTATCAAGTAGACAAATGTAAGAGAAGAGGGTGGTGTGGGAATGGATGGAGGGTGACCAGCTCCGCCAGTAGCCAGTAAGCTCGCGTGCTGTCAGAAGGAAGCGGCGGAGGGAATTAACTCAGTGACTCCCACCCGACAGACATCTGCAACCGGTTGCCTGTCAGGTTGACACTCGCCATTTCAGAAAGAAAAGATGGGGTTTTTTTTTTTTTTGTTTTGGAGCTGCAAAACTCATGGTCTCAAGGGGTTACAGTGTTAAAGCACAGAACTTTTTGGTTGGCAACTCTTTTTTAAATAATATATATTATATAATGGGAAAATGGAATTTGGTTGTTTATGGGAGGGGCGTAGGAGTTTGGGAGTTTAGGGTTTTGAGCGACCCATAAATAAGGGGTTATGGAGGTGGTGATAAGAGTGTAAATGGTGGGGAAAGTAAATAAATGATTATAAAAGGGGAATTCATTTCCCAGTTTTCAAGTGCTGATGATGGGCACTTCATTTAACACTCTCACTGAATAACAGGTTGATACAATAATAATAACACCATTCATTTCCTTGCTTCATTATATTTCAAGCTTTTATCGGTATAGAGCCACCCCATCACCACACAGGTTGCTTAACTTTAAAGTTCTTATAATTAAGCTTCTAAAAATCAATTATTATAAACATTTTCCTTAGTCATTTGTGAGATCATTGATCCCACATTGGTTGGATAGAGGAATGAAACATTCTTTATAAACGTGTGGAAACCTCTCCTCCAGTAGACACGTTTTAAAATCATGAAGCTAGTGGCGATAAGTAATGAGTCAAAGCAGACAATATCTGCTAGCGGTGGGCTTAGGCTGTTAAAAATGGTATCAGAGCCAGACACTGGACGCTATGTCAGCGAGGATGTTGGGTCCTCAAAGGGGTGGATTGAGATCTCACCTTAGTTAGAGAGTAGAACGAAACATTTCTTATAAGGATGTGGAAACCTCTCCCTAACAAACACAACGATACATGATGAGTCAAAGCATTTCTTATAAGGTTGTGGAAACATCTCCCTAATAAACACGACGATACATAACGAGTCCAAGCAGACAATATTTGCTAGCAGCTGTTACATACCCCGTCCTCAAAATAAATTATAAAAAATGATATAAGGTAGGTTAAAGTATATAAAATCATAATTTATTGTGAAGATAAGAAAGATAGGGGGTTTTGTGTACGAGAGAGCATGAATTACAAGAAAGGTGATAATGATTCGATCAAAAATATTAAAAGAACATGTTTGAATGTATCTAAGAAGCAAATGATGGTTTAAATTATGTAAGCCAAAATGTTAAAGTTACAAAAGAAAAAGAAGCACTTTTTGGAATGAATTACTTAAAGTTATTAAAAAGTGTGCAGCAAAGAGAGCATAACTGGGATTATGGGTAAAGAAATAATTAATTAACCCTTGTTCTTGAAGCATGTTTCATTTCTTAATAATTACCTCGACTTCCTCGCTACCCTAATGCATGCTTCTTACATATCTAAGTCGTCACCCAACCATTTAATTAACCCTACCTTTTCTCTACTAACAATATTATTCTTAGAATCCCACGCTAAGCACACATTTAATCTTGATGAACACAAAGAATTCGAACCAGATGAACACAAACAATAGATAAAAGAAAATATAAGAGAAATATTGGCTAAAAGTTTATATGAATGATGTACCGTAGGATAGAATGTATATATAAATCAAATATAACCATCTATTACATAACTATACGTTTACCAACTTTTCACTTTGTTTACTACACATAACCATTATTACAAAGTATAAGCAAGACATATTCACTTTGTTTACTACACATAACCATTATTACAAAGTATAAGCAAGACATATTTACGTTTACTCACCGATATTGTATATAGTCATTGATACTGTACGTAGTTGTTTACTGTATATGATCATTTACCCTATATAGCTTTATTATGTATAACAATTGAGCAACTTGTACCCTATATAGTTTTACTATTGTGTAACGGAATAGTTACAATATTACTTAGTAGTTAATGATATTGGCCATTAAAGAGTAAGGGGTATTGAAAAGAAGGAAACAGTTTCCTTTAAACCATGCTTTGTGTGTCCCGTGCACTTCTACAGTGGAAACTACACACAAAGCAGACCATTCTTTTGATTGTCCTTTTTAAGGACATCATTGTATTGTCATTGTTTTGTTAGTTCCTTAACTCTTCTTTCCTTGTTAGCTTCGAAATTCCAAATGTCGGGGGTACGAGTTTGTTCTTTTCCAAAATTCCTGCAACACAAAAAAACAAGACAACCCTTTTGAAGTGGTTGAATTTCGTGGCTTTTATCTCTTGTTTTGCTTTAGTTTGTGGCTTCTTTTCATCTTCAAAAGCCATTAGCTTAGCTCATTCATGGCTGCCTTTGCCTCTCACACTTTCCCAAACCAGTTTTCGACTCGTTGCTCAACATTCTTAATCATTATCTATTCAAGTTTTTACATGTAGGCTCGCTGAAATTGAATAATCATGTCATTATGATACAAGTGAGCTCACTGTTAGTCGATATTGTCCTCTTTGAACTTTTTTTTTTTTTAGCTTCCCTTAAAAGTTTTTAAAATGCATCTGCTAGGTAGAGATATCCACGCCCTTATACATAATGTTTCATTTCCCTATCCAATTAGGATTTCATAATCCACTCCCTTCGGAACCCAGTTTCCTTGTTGACACTCATTCAGTGTCCACTCTCTTTGGGGCTCAATGTCCATGCTGGCGCGCGTTGCTAAGTGTCTTGCTCTGATAACATTTGTAATGGCCCAAGCCCTATTAATAGATATTGTCTTCTTTGGGCTTCCCCTCAAACTTTCTAAAACGTGTCTGCTATAGAGAAGTTTTCACAATCCACCATTTGTAACTGGGATCTCACAATCCACTCCCTTCGGGTCCCAGCGTCCTTGTTGACACTCATTTCGTGTTCACTCTCCTTGAGGCTCAGTGTCCTTGCTGGCACACTGCACAGTGTCTGATTCTGATACCATTTGTAACGGCCCAAACCCTATTAGCAGATATTGTCTTCTTTGAATTTCCCCTCAAGCTTTCTAAAACGCGTCTGCTATTCTAGAAGTTTTCACACCCTTATGAAGAAAGAATGTTCCGTTCCCCTCTCAAATTTGAGATCTCTGGTATTACATTTTGGAGCCTAAACTCAGTCCAAGCCTAGCTAGTTAATGTTTGAGAGATTTCCAAGAAGGCAACGCGTTGGTAAGAGGTGCGAGCACGGTGTATTTCAATGGGAGCTTGACATTTTGGTGTAAAAAACGCAGATGAACGGGGCACACTTGTAGTAGAGAACCAAAAGGCATTTTGAGAACTTTTCAATAAAAGTGAGACATATTCTTGAAGAGCTATGCGAATTCTCTACCATGTCTTACTTCTTGTAGTGTTCAATATGCATTAAAAGTATGGAATTTTCATTAAGAAATTCGGGTCGTAACATTTTAACTATCGGAACGAGAAAGCATACACCTTTTGGGTCTAAGATTTGGGTAATAGAAGTTGGTACAAAGTCATGTGGCGTTGAAAGTAGCAAAGTTTTGCTTCTGAAGTTGTGTTGGTATCTTCACATCTGTGGCCAAACCGAGAGCTTGAAGAAGCCGGACAACGTACCATGTCATGTCGAGTTGCCACCACTCTAGGCCATGTCGCGCCGAGAACTCAAATGCGTGGTGGTTGTTGTGCCACCCTTCTCCAAATGCAAACAGCGACACCCACCTTCACCGACAAACATATCATTAACATTTTAAGGTATTTTTGGTCGGATCAGTTGAAATCATCATATAAAAGGGCCAAATTTACCAATTGTTTCTAGACAAATCCCCTGTTTTCCAAGCCTGATTTCCCCATACATGGCAAGCTGAATTCACCAGCCAGGTGATATGGTACACCCAAACTAATCTCACACCCTGTAATCAAGAACAAAAACACAAGTCTTTCATTCATTATTTACCCAAAATCAGTGCATGTGAAAGAAAAAGAAGAATTCATCTTACCATTCCCCAAACAATGAATGGAAATCCACCCATTGCGTAGAGCAGAGCACCAAGAGCAATCGGATGAAGAAGATAAGTTGTTTCAATAAACCTATAAAATGGCTGTTTTTGCAAATCCCCAACGTTGTTTGGCCCTCCACACTGAAAAAAAAAAAAAACCAATTTAAAAGTTGGAATCCATTAATTAGGGGTAAAATTTCAGCCAAGAACAGAGCAAAATTTCTCACTCTCTCAGTCAAAGTTTTGATATCAAACAACCAACTCATGTGGCTAAACCAAAAGCCTTCGATTGGGCTATGTGGGTCTCTTTCGGAATCACAAAATTGATGGTGATATCTATGGGTGCTGACCCAATTCATTGGATTCCCCTAAACAGATACAAAAACAGAGTCAGAACAGAGTAGATTTTCAAATTTGAGGAAATAATAGGATTTGATTTGAACCTGAAGTGCTTGAACTCCGCAATAAGCGAAGGAGTATTCTAGCCATTTTGGAAGTTTGAAGCTGCGATGAGAAAGATTGCGATGAAACGAAAGGGTAATTCCGAAAAGACCTGTGACAATGTACAAAGAAACTGCGACCCAAAATGCAGCCCAATTGAATTGAAATGGAGCCAAAAGAGCGAGTAAATGAGCCGCCGCCACCACTCCGGCGGTTCCGATGTCATGAAGAGTCCATTTCCGGCCCGAAAACACCTCCCTCGGCCGCCTCACCACCACATCCGATAACAAAATCCTCTTCCCAGAAGCCGGCGGTGGCGGCGACCCTGGTTCAAATGCCTCTGTCAGCGGTGGAGTTGCTCTGTTTTGGATCCTACACGATGAATTCAGCCTCAAGGATTTGAAATTGCAACGACCCACCAAGTTTAAGCCTAATGGGTCGCCAGAAACTGATCGGAAACTGACGGCCATCAGGCGGGGATGGTGAATTGCAAGGCGGAGGGATGGAAAGCGGTGGAATTTGGAATCGGACAACCGAGAATTGAGAAGAGCCATAGGAGAAAGAACAGTACAAGAACCGTCGACTCTGAATTGGCAGACTGTTGGAGGCAATTTAATAAGTTAGAAGAGAAAAAACGATCACTTTGTGAAGGATTTGAGGGGAATTTGATGCTAGAAATTTGACCCAGATATTGCGATCTCTTAAAGATGACTAAACCCCTGTTTTTGTTTTGCCTTTTTATTTTCCTAAAATTATTAAACACTAAAAAGGAAACTATTTCATTTTTCAGGAAAACTTCTTTGTTCTTTTACGTCTGTCTCTCTTAGGGCAAGTTTCATACACCTTGTGGTTTTGAATATGAAACACGTCTTTTCTAATTTGTACTTTCTATCACCCTTTGTTCCTCAATTCGGACAAGTCAGAACGTTGCTTTTTGTTGTGGTAGGAGAGATACCACATGTTCATACCATTTACAACCTTCTATGTCCAATTGAGTATCATTTTTGAGGTGTTTTCAACTATGTAGTCTACTCTATCCTTCCTTGTACCCATCTTAAATTCACCATTAATAAATATGGTTTATTTTAGCTAGTTACCTCGTCATTGTCAGCCTCACAATTCTACTATTTTACGCTTTTACAAGAGTGTTTCGTTCTCCTCTCAAATGGATGTGGGATCTCACAATTCATCCTCGTTAGGCCACCGCCGAGTGTCTAGTTTTGATACCATTTAACGGCTCAAGCCGATTGTGAGATCCCACATCTAGCTCTGATACCATTTGTAACAACTTAATCTAATTGCCAAATCTTGGATGAAGAGGGGAACCATGAATCTCTCGCTAGTAGATAAGTCCCTAGTGAGGTGAGGAAGATATGTAATGAACAAAAGATGATGATAATATGGTCGAATTTGACTGTAATAATGGACTAAGTTAGTGGAAGAATCTAGTTAAATAAAACTTAAAATATAAGGGAAGTTATTAAGCATATGCATAGTATCTTAAATATAGGCCAAATTGTTAAACTTTCCATATAAATAAAATAAAAAGGGAAGTGGTTAAACTACCCATATTAGGAGGATCCATATCTTGAATATGATAACACTCATCCATTTTACGTTACAAAATATGATAAAACTCATCCATTTTACGTTACAAAGCTTATCTAACCATCAACCATTCCTGCCTCCTCTTAATCATTTTCTGAGTTTTGTGATCTTCCTCCGCCGCTTTGTGATCTTCCTCCGCCGCTTGTTTCCGACGCCTCAACCCTCCGCTGTTTACCAATTGTTGGTTCCAAGCATCCATGCCCACCGTTCTCAGGTTCGAGTTCTGGCCTGCTTCTCTCCACCCGTTTTTGCTTCTCAAAAACGATTTTGAGAATAGAATGACTAGTTTACACATACTAACAAGGTGCACCCTCATTTTCGATGTTTCAATAATAGAAACTTTATAGTTAATTTGTGGGGTAATTTTCACTCTTAGAAGTAAGGATTGGATAATTTGACCATGTCAGAGGTGATGCACGTGTTGGTTTATATGCATAGTCTTCACTCGTGACGTTTAATAGAATTGACTTAAATCCATCACGATCGCAGTTCAAATTAGTTGAACAGAATTCTAGTGATGATACGTAATTAAATTGAAATGAGTCCTACCCCCAAACAGAGGGCGTCGCATGCAAAGATTGAAAGCATGGTACCCACATGATGTGATATAGCAATGGCTCTTTAAGGCCACAAAAGCTTCGCTTTCCCAAGAACACATTATTGCACCTAATAGTTGCCCTACTTTTGACATTTAATTTGGGTACCATAATTTCAAATCAATTATCTCCAATTAATTTGTATTATATAATAAGATTAGGTTAAATTATAGTTTAGAGTAAGTTTCCATTCATCTTCTAAATTTTTGAATAATTGGTGTGACATATGATAAGTCTATGGACATAATGCAACGACCTTATGCCTAGGATTCATATCAGGATTTGGGCACCTGATGATCTCAACACCTGTGCACATGTTACCTATTCATCGCTTATTAAGAGTATAGACTATCCCAATAGACCAACGCAGGTTCTTCCATCGTGTTTTATCCTCACTCATGTGTATCTAAGGAAAATTATCAAGAGATCATCCAATATAGAATTATTCAAAGTAAAGCATGCTTAATCATGAAGTTCTTATCATTGCGACACCGAAAAGGAACGTGCACATTATTGGTATAGATATTAACCTTTAATTCTTTTAAGTTTTTCTTAGTCATCTTATCCTTAGGATTGCCCTCCTTTGAATATATAGTATCAGTTCATTCATATATTCCTATTTTATTTGGATGTTACACATCGTTCAAACTCACTCGAATTTAAGGAAATTTGGTATAACATAACTTTAACAATATTATCAAACTTGCAAACTATGTTTAATCCAATCAATGCACCAAACAAGTCTCTAAGAAATCATCAATGAAATTATTAGAGGCGCGCTCTGCCGTTGAGTTAATAACCCATCGTGCAGGCCTCACAAAAAATACTTGATACTACAATCATTGGAGGAATAATGCCTAGCATGAAACAAGTGTCTAGAAATCATCAGCTTGTTTTAGGGTTTAGGGCTAATTTTTGCTGATGGCGTGCGGAGGGTAACTTCACATCAGTTGCCAATCCAAGGGCTTGAAGGAACAAAATAACGCACCATGTCAAGTCAAACTCCCACCATTCATAGCCATGTCGAGCTGAATATTCAAAAGCATGGTGGTTGTTGTGCCAACCCTCCCCAAAGGCAAGCAACCCTATCACCCTGCCAACATTTACAATCTTTTACACATATCTATAAACCAATTGAATTTGAAGCAGTAACTACGGAAGAACAGAGAAAGTGAGTGTACCAATTGTTCTTCGACAAATCATTTGTGTCCCACAGTCGGTAGCCCCATATGTGGCAGGCAGAATTTACGAAGAAAGTAATGTGCAGCACCCAAACAAGCCTCACTCCCTGCCACATCCCATTCACCATTAACACTCATCAATTTTCTTACCATCTCCTTTCAACAAAACAAATATAACAATTCAACTCCACCGCTACTATATAACACGTCGTCAATCTCATGATGGAGAGGTTTCCACGTCTTTCTAAAAAATGTTTCATTCTCCTCTCCAACTAATGTGGGATCTCACAATCCATCCCGTTGGGGCTACGCGTCCTTGTTGATACACTTTCCAGTGTCTGGCTTTGATACCATTTATAATATCTCAAACCTACTGCTACCAGATATTGTCCGCTTTGGCCCATTACGTATTATCGTCAGCCTCACGATTTAAAAACGTGTGTGTTAGGGAGAGGTTTCCACACCCTTACAAGGAATATTTCATTCCCCTCTTCAACAAATGTGGGATCTCCCAATCCACCCCCATTGAAGACCCAATGTCCTTGTTGGCACACCGCTCGGTGTCTGGGTTTGATATCATTTGTAATAGTTCAAGCCCACCGCTAGCCGATATTGTCCGCTTTGGACCGTTACGTATCGCCATCAGTCTCACAGTTTTAAAACACGTCTGTTAGAGGGAAGTTTCCACACTCTCATAAGAAATGTTTCGTTCCCATCTCCAACCACTCTGTTATTATATTCTTACAAATAATAATAGTAAAGAAGAAGAAATCATGTGAACATAAAAAAAAAATAGAAAAAAACAATAGTTACCATTCCCCAAACAACAAAGGGAAGGCCTCCAGTTGCATAGAGGACAATTGCAGGAGCTGTGGGATGGAGAATGTATGTCTTTCGAAGAAACCTATAAAAGCCTTGCTTTTGTAAATCCTCCACATTGTTTGGTCTTCCATACTTCACATATCCCACTAAAACATTTCTAAAACGCTTTCGTTTGGTACTTCTTTCCTCGAAATCTTGAACGTTTTTTGGGTAAACTTTTTTTGTCAAAGTATACGCGTCGAACATCCAAGCTAAATGACTAAACCAAAACCCATCTAAAGGACTATGTGGATCTCTGTCTGTATCAACGAATTGATGATGATATCTATGTGTACTAACCCAATCAATTGGATCACCCTGTAGTAAAATTTAGCAAACTTCAAATCACTACAAGCTTGTTTGTTAACTCTTTTAATGTTTTTAATGCATGACACGATAATCACGACAAACCTGGAAGGCCTGAACTCCAAGATATGCAAACAAGTACTCGAGCCATTTGGGAAGCTTGAAACTTTTGTGTGCAAGATTTCTATGGTACGATAGCGTTACTCCGAAAAGCCCTGTAATGAAATAGAGTGCAAAGGCAACCCAAAAGGCTGGCCAGTTGCAGTGAAATGGAGCCAAGAGACAGAGGAAATGCAAGAACAAAACACCACCAGCCGAACGTCTGTCTAAAATGGTCCATTTCCTGTTTAGAAGAGCAGGTTTGGACTTCACCATTGAAAGCGCCACCTTCTTTGTGTTTCTCATCTGCTGCTTAGTTCCTATATTTATACCCAAACTTGCCTCGCAGATAGTTAGCCTCTGATTTCTGCTGCTTTCCCAAGTTTATTCTTTTTATGTAACGTTTTATGTCTAACATTCATATCAGGATTTAGGATTTAAAGTTTGGCACCTAATGACCTCGATCTTTTCCTATGACATCATTACGTTTCTTAGCATATTTTGTCCTCAAAATTTAACGTAAATTACTCCAAGTTAAACATGCTTAATTCTAAAGTTCTTATAATTTATCTACCAAAAAAGAGGTACATTTATGGCTTGTAGTTTATCAATAAGTGACTTTATCTATTTATTTCTGGTTCGGGTGTCAATCTCTCACTAAAAGTCAATAGATGTCAGTAAGTGACTTTATCAATCAGAGTTAGTATAAAACTTATCAAATTTATTAACAAAATTAAAAATAAAATAAAAAACTATTAAACTTAAATTATGGTAGATAAAATGTGGAGGTGATATCTTAATTTGGTAGGAGCATTTATGGCTTGTAGTTGGCACAGGATTTGCCCTTTACTCAAAACTAACCGGTAAGGTCATAAACCCACGTAGGACCTTCTCTAAGCCATAAAGGACCCTACTTATAATATTCATAATTCTCTAAGAGGTTCGAATCTCATGAAAATATTGATAAAATGTCAATATTTATGAATATTTTTACAAAGTTATAATCATAAAATTTTAAATTATCTAGTAAACATTCATCTTTTTAAATAATTAAAAAAAATTAAACTATCAATCAATCTCTGATGTCCGTGTTGAAACTATCGACATACACGTACATTTCTAATAAATTTGAGTTGGTTAGTTCGAGTGGTCGGATTATCTGATTCACGTACACCCTAATAAATACTAACCTAGAATCAATGGCTCATATTAGACAACATCTAACAGCTGAGAAAGGACTCAAGTTAACAAGTATAGTCGGCCACCGATGGGTTCGACAACCGCTGACACCACCTGTCCTCTCCTTTGTCAGCCCTATGCCTTTTCTTCCTTCAAAAACGTGATGCCTTTAATTTTTCATAACATTTTGAAGGAGGTACCATGCAATACGCTTTCATCACATTAATACCCACGACTAATTAAAAAGGCCCATTTTGACTGCATACCATTCGTTGACCTAGACTCTAATATTGGTGTTGTTGGATGAATTATATGAGGTATGAACGACACGTCTTTTGTGACCATGTGTCATACGTTGTGATTGTTTAATGCGTATGATGTTATGTTATCTATTGTGTGATGCCATGAGACGATTATGTCATGTTATGTATCTTGTGGTGACTTCTGTGTTGTATGATGCATGAAACCGTTATGTGTTATGCCACACACTATGCTAGCATGTTCACTTCATGTCATGTTATTCAAGAAAGTTATGTTTACGAACAGAAAGGAGGCATGACCCCGCATCGTACATGGTTGTCAAATTCTAGGATCTCGTACATTTTGTATGATCATCCCTCGCATTTAGGCTGAAACACCAACTTCTGCATGTGATGTTGAGAGGGTAATTTCAAATCGGTTGCTAACCCAAGAGCTTGAAGCAACAAAATCACCCACCAGGTTACATCGAGCTGCCACCATTCTAGGCCATGTCGAGCTGAATACTCAAATGCATGGTGGTTGTTGTGCCACCCTTCCCCAAATATAAGCAATGCCAATACCCTAAAGACCAATCGTTTCATTAGCTCATTTACTCAACGACAACAAAATAAAACGTAACGTAAAAACTAAAGAAACTTCGACGAACCAGTTGTTTCTTGACTGATCCCCGGTGTTCCATTGCTGGTTTCCCCACATGTGGCCGATAGAGTTTAGGGAGAATGTGACATGTTGAAAGCAAACCGTTCTTACACCCTACATTTATTCGATCAATTCAAACCATCAAATTATACTCGCTCAAAATTCAGACGCATTTTAAAAACTTTGAAGGAAAGTAACAAAAAAAATTAAAAAAAGGACAATATCCGTTAGCAGTGTGCTTAGGCTATTACAAATGGTATCAGAGCTAGACATGAGTGTGCCAACGAGGACGCTGGCCCCAAATGAAGGAAGATTGTGAGATCCCACGAGCCCAAAAAAAATTAATACGCAGTAGTAGTGTACTTGAACTACGAACACTTTCCTTAAATTAAAAGTAGCATGATATTGTACGAGAAAAAATCTTACCATTCCCCATACGAGGAAGGGAAGCCCTCCGACAGCATAGAGGACAATTGCGAGACCAAAATGATGAAGAATGTACGTTGTACGAAGAAACCTATAAAAGGCCTGCTTTTGTAAATCTTCCACGTTGTTTGGTCTTCCATATTTCAAACATCCCACAAAAATATTTCTAAAACGCTTTGGTTTTCGATTCCTTTCCTCAAAATCTTCGACGTGTTTTGGACAAACTTTCTTAGTCAAACCATACGAATCAAATATCCATGCAATATGACCAAACCAAAATCCTTGTTTCGGACTGTGTGGATCTCTATCTGTGTCCACAAATTGATGATGATATCGGTGTGTACTCATCCAATCAATTGGATCGCCCTATAATATCAAAGGTAATACTTAATGAAAAAAAAAAAAAAACGAGAAGGCAAATTGAGATGGGTAAACAACAAATGATTAAGTACCTGAAGAGTAAGGACTCCAATATAAGCGAACGTGTATTCAAGCCACTTGGGAAGCTTGAAACTTTTGTGCGAGAGATGTCGGTGGTACGAAAGCGTCAAACCGAAGAGGCCCGTGAAATTGTAGAGTAGAAAGGCGAGGCAGAAGGCTGACCAAGTGAAGTGAAATGGCGCCAAGAGACAAAGCAAATGCAGGAACAAAAGAAGACCAGCAGAACGTTTGTCCAAAGTTGTCCATCTTCTTTGAAAAAAGGGCCTTCCACGGGGCCTCACTGGAGCTTTGTCATTGACGGCCATAGCCTTCTCATCGTTATTTTTATCTTCCACCTCCTTCGTTGCTGCCTCCATTTGAGGAGGAAGAGACACTAACGGCAAAGAGCAAAGGCAATCCAGGGTACCACTGCCTCAGCTCAAATGCTAGCTTTGTTCAGCCTTTATTTATAGTAGAATGGGCTTCCATTAAATAAATAAAAAATGATCTGCATGCAATTTTAGAAAAAATCAATGTTCATAACTTTCTCCGTCATTCATGAAAAATAACATAAATCTATTGTGACATACAAATATTCTAAAGGAAACCAAATATGAATTTGGTTTCGATTTCAATATATATATATTTTTGGGCTTAATGCATGCATAGAGAGATAACGCTGAGATCCCACATCGGTTGGAGAGGGAACAAAATGTTTATCAGAAGGGTGTGGAAACTTCTCTCTAGCAGACGGATTTTAAAATTATGAGGCTGACAGTGATACGTAACGAGCCAAAGCAGAACGGTGGACTTAGACGGTTATAAATGGTATCTGAGACACTGGGGATATGCCAGCAAGGATGTTGGGCTCACAGGAGGAGTGGATTATGAGATTCTACATTTGCTGGAGAGGGGAATGAAGTATTCCTTGGAATGGTGTGGAAAATTCTCCCTAACAGACGTATTTTAAAATTGTGAAGTTGACGATGATACGTAACAGGACCAAAACAAACAATATCGGTTAGCGGTGGACTTGGGCTATTATAAATGGTATCAGAGCTAAGCACTGGGCTGTGTGTCAACGAGGACGATGAGCTCCCAAGGGGGCGGATTGTGAAATCTCACATTGTTTAGAAGGGGAAATGAAATGTAACAGACTAAGGAGAACAATATCTACGGGCGGTAGACTTGAGTTGTTACCATAACTGTTTAAAAAATATATTTATTAAGAAGCATGAGAGAAAAAAAGATAATGTTTTATTTTGAAAGAGATATTTATTAAGGAACATGAGAAACATGGCGAAGGCAGGAGAGATACATGAAGGCACGTCAATTGAGGGCAATGTTAGAGATAAAGAGATAAAATAATGAGTAAACAAAGGAGATTTCGAGGACCATGCGGAACGATCCCCTCCATAATTTGGTGTACATATTTTCGCTGTGAGTTTCCAGATCGCTGTTGCCAAGCGCACACCAGCTACGACACACTGCACTATTACGCGGGTGTCGTTCGAGCTGGCGCTACGACACACTGCACTATTACGCGGGTATCGTTCGAGCTGATCACAACGATTAATCCTTCAGTTATGATGGACTCCAACAATATTAAGCATCACGTTAAAATCATGAAATAACATAACCATGCATTAAGAAATAAGAAGTTAGTACTCGTACAACATTTCTTAGAGAAACTATTAATCACCGAGCATTTATAAGAGGATATTAAACATGGAGCATTCTTAGCATTTGTAGTAGAAAAAGTGTTAATATTTTTGTTTCTTTAATTATTCATCAATTTCCACACACTTCATAAATAATTTCTCTTTTCCCTCTTCAATTGACATGGGAATTCACAATCCACCCTCGTTACGAGCTCAACATCTTTGCTAGCACACCGTCCAATGTCTAACTCTGATACCATTTATAATAGCCTAAATCCTTTGTTCATTATGTATGGCCGCCAACCTCATAGTTGTAAAGGACATTTATTAGAGAGAGATTTTTGATATGGTTATAAAAATATTCGGTTCAAGATTAAACATGGTAGAGGGTTGGTCCCATAAAGTAGGCTATGAACGTAGTAAATGCGAAGTTCCAAAATGGTGTGCTGTTTGACTTCAAAGATATTAAAGTAGAGCGTCCTCATTTTTTTTTTATTAAAATCATGAATGAGTACTGTTATATTGCATGGGTCAAATTATTACAAATTCATTCTAATATTTATATTCCATCATACCCTCTTCTTAATCTTCATGTTTCATATTTAACTACTCACTAACATGTTAAAATACTTCATATAAATCTAAACTGAATATTTATATCCTTGATTTAACTCCAACAATGAACACAAACAAAAAGTTACCAAATTCTACTTGTTTTTATATGTTTTGTGCTTTAGATGTTCGTGTGTGGATCATATCATGTTTTTCAACGGTGTTTTAAGAGAATAACTCTACAAGAATCCACATCAAATAGAGAGGGGAATGAATAATTCCTTATAAAGTTGCGGAAACTTCTTCCTAATAGACGCATTTTAAAAACCTTGAGAGGAATCTCAAATAGGACAAATATTATCATTGCCAGACATCAGGCAGTGTGTTAACGAGGACGCTGAACCTTGAAGGGAGGTGGATTGTGAGATCCCACATCAGTTGGAGTGGAGAACGAAATATTTTTTATAAGGACGTGGAAACTAATTTTGAAAGAAAAGCTTAAAGAGAATCATATGTGATAGCGATGTGTTTAGGCCGTTACAAGCATATCAGTGTCCTTAATGAGTCGTATGTTAGAACTAGAAGATCATGTGTGAAAAGCATGTGTGAAAAGTTGAAAACAAAATAATACCTCCATCTGTGAAATTAATTGGGATCTATAAATATTGAAACCCATCACGAGAGCTGGTTGAGTTTTTGGGGATACCCATTTATTTTTGCAGCGTATACCCATCATCATCATAAATCCCAACCATTTTTCTGACCTAAATCAAATTCAGAATATCATTTTTGTAAACTTTACCTTTTGTGTAAACCTGAATTTACTATCTATTTTCATCATTATATGCTTTAAAACGTTATCAAACCTTACCCTTTTAATCTATTTGTTCAACACGTCAAGAAGTAGGCCATACATATATTGATTGATTGATATTAATAGGCCAACAAAACCCACCTCTTACATTCAATCAAAATCTCTCCATTTCAAAAGTGTTAGTATTAAATCAACATGGATTCATATTGAATTGAAAATAATAAAAGAACACCGTAACGATTTCATATTTAGTTTTTACTTTTCTGTAGTTAGAAGAGTTACTGTGGTAGTAGGTGTAGAGTGTAACAATCCAAGCCCACATCTAATAGATATTGTCTGGTTTAACTTGTTAGGTATGGTCGTCAGTATCACAATTTTAAAACGAGTCTGTTTGGGAGAGGTTTCCACGCTCTTATAAAAAAAATGTTTCATTCTCCTCAACCCTCTTGGGGGCCAGCGTCCTCACTGGCAGACCGCATTATGAGATCTCACATCGGTTGGAGAGGAGAACGAATCATTTGTTATAAGAGTGTGGAAACTTTTCATTAGTAGACGCATTTTAAAACTGTGAGGCTGACCACGATACGTAACGGGCTAAATCGAACAAATTTATTAGCAGTAGGATTCGGATGTTACATAGAGACGTGGAGTTTGCTGTGAGTAACAAATTGCTCCTTGCTCCTTATGATAGCGACTGTGAATAGCATTGAAGTTCAGCAAAAAAGAGATGAAGAACTGAGTCTACGTCTTATTGGATCATTTGAGATTTTAAAGTGATAAGTAGCAACTACCTTGTGATCCTAACATTTTTCATATGTCCATGTTGTAGAAGTATATGGCGTATCTATCTACCTATAATTGATTACGAACTACCACATTTGGAAGAGAGCTTGAGTAATAGGAAAAGACCCACACAAATTCTTATAAAAGTACATATTGCTCACACACTTCTTAAATATAAATACGTAGTTTTTCCTTTTGTTCCCTACATTATTCGTAAACATATCCCATACATATTTCATAACCTTAAAAACTAAGGTTTCGATATCGAACCGAGACCGATAAGGTTGTTATAACCATAGAGAAATAAAAAGCATGAAAATTTGAGAGAGATTCAACACATTTATGATCAATCACTCGCATTTAGGTTGCATGGCCAATTTCTGCATGTGATGTTGAGAGGGTAATTTCACATCCGTTGCTAACCCCATAGCTTCAAGAACCAAAATCACCCACCAAGTCACATCCAGCTGCCACCATTCTAGGCCATGTCGAGCTGAATACTCAAATGCATGGTGATTGTTGTGCCACCCTTCCCCAAATACAAGCAATGCCAATACCCTAAAAACCAATTGTTTCATTAGCTCATTTACTCAACGACAACAAAAGAAAACGTAACGTAAAAACGAAAGCAACTTTGACGAACCAGTTGTTTCTCGACTGATCCCCGGTGTTCCATTGTTGGTTTCCCCACATATGGCCCAAAGAATTTACCGCGAATGTGAAATGTTGAAAGCTTACGATCCTCACTCCCTACATTTTTTCAATCAATTCAAACCGTTACCATTCATTTTTTCAATAAATTTTTTTGTTGAGTATTATTGAGAGAGGAGTCGTGAGTTTATAAGTTACGAATACATCACCTTTTGAGGAAACTAAAAGTAAAGTCATAAGTGACACAATATATAACCATTAAGTGTCCATAAATCTAAAATCATTATTACTCAAACAAGATAATACAGACAAAACTGAAATAACTACTCTAAAAACTCAACTTAATTGTACATAAATATTTAAGTGTACAACTAATTTAATTGCAGAAATAAAACTAATAGACTCCTAATGAAAATAAATAATTTGACTCATTCAAGCCAGCAATAAGTTGTACTAAATTCTGACAATACAATATTCATTTCATCGTAGAGATCCGTGATTTCTAACCTTCTTTATGTTCATGTTAGCAACGTTCATAGCTATATGTTTTTATGTTAATATTATGTTTTTTTTTTTATATATTATATTGTTATCAATTCCTATGCATGATCATTATAAGAAAATCCACGAAACATTTTAACCCTAAAAGTAAAATGATATTGCATGAGGAAACAATCTTACCAATCCCCAAACGAGGAAGGGAAGCCCTCCGACAGCATAGAGGACAACTGCAAGACCAACATGATGAAGAATGTATGTTCTTCGAAGAAACCTATAAAAGGCCTGCTTTTGTAAATCCTCCACATTGTTTGGTCTTCCATACTTCAAATATCCCACAAAAATATTTCTAAAAGGCTTTGGTTTTCGATTTCCTTCCTCAAAATTTTCAACGTGTTTCGGACTAACTTTTTTAGTCAAACCATACGAATCAAATATCCACGCAACGTGACCGAACCAAAATCCTTGTGTCGGAGTGTGTGGATCTCTTTCAGTATCAGCAAACTGATGATGATACCTATGCGTACTCACCCAATCAATCGGGTCACCCTATCAAATCACATCAAAACAAAGGCTTAACAATCCCAAAGGAAATGAAAATGAAACTAGAGAATGGTAAACGACGTATGATTAACCTGATAGGCATGGACCCCAAAATAAGCGAACATGTATTCAAGCCATTTGGGAAGTTTGAAACTCTTGTGCGTGAGATGTCGGTGATACGAAAGTGTCAAACCGAACATGCCCGTGATAATGTAGAGTACAACGGCAAGCCAGAAGGCTGGCCAAGTGAAGTGAAATGGCGCCAAGAGACAAAGCAAATGCATACCCAAAACAGCAGCAGCAGTACGTTTGTCTACACTTGTCCATTTTCTTTCGAAAATCGGCCGTCGTCCCGACCTCACCGGAGCTTCATCTTCGACCGCCATAGCCTTCTGATCATTGTTTCTATCTTCAAGCTCTTCCATTAGAGGAAAACGGGACGTTAATGGCAGAGAGCAAAGACAAGAGAGAGTATGGGACTTTGGAAGTAGCACTGCCTCAGCTCAAATGCTCAAATGCTCAAATGCTTCGGCCTTTATTTATAGTAAAAAGGGTTCCATTTTATTATTATTATTATTTTAAATTAAATGGTTTGCATGCAATTTGAGAAATTATGTTGTGGGGTAGGTGAGTGGTTTTAGCAGCTATATGGAAGAAGAAATTTAAAAGAAATTGCTCAATCCAATTTATGGTTAACAACACGTAATTGAAATTTGTTTATTTATTTATCAAATATAACGGGACAACATTGATAATTCCACCCAACAAATGTCTATATGAAACTTCTAAACAAATGAGGTTAATGCCTAAAGGATAAATATAATTATTGAAATGAGTGTACTCTTAAAATCTATTAAATATAGTAATTTTGTTCATAGCTATATATCTTCTATCAATAAGTCAAAGATTTGAATGTAACAGCCCAAGTTCGCTTTGACTTGTTCAACCTCACGATTTTAAAATGCGTCTTTTAAGAAGAGACTTCCACACTTTTATAAGGAATGTTTCGTTCTCCTCTCGCCTATTTGAAAGCCCAACATTCGCATTGACATTCAGTGTCTAGCTCTAATACCATTTGTAACAACCCTAATTCACCGCTAGCAGATATTGTTTGTTTTCGTTCGATATGGATCGTTGTCAGCCTCATAGTTTTAAAATGTGTCTACTAAGGAGAGGTTTCCACACCCTTATAAGAAATGTTTTGTTTTCCACTCCAACATCATCCAACTGTGTGAAATCTTACAATGAAATTTAGACTGGCATCCTTTAATTAATGGTTCCTTAGGTCTTTAAAAAAAAGGTAAGAAGGTCAGTGTCTACAAATGTTGATCAAACAGAAATAGTCATTCTCAGGTCTAAGATATTAATAGCTGCCCTATTAATATCTACATCATCTCAACTAGATATGCCAAAAGTTCCCACCTAATAGTAAGGTGGATGGATCTTCTCTCAACTTCTTCAATATCTCTTCTTTTTCCACTTCAAATGTGGACCATACCCATACAAAAATGATATCAAGATAAACTATGTTTAATCAATATGGGATCTCAAAATCTCGCTGTCAGGGTTTCTAACGTCCTAGTTAGCGCACTACCCAATGTCTAGCTTTGATACTATTTGTAACCGTCCAAATTCATCACTATATTGTTCGTTTTAAAATGCATCTACTAGAGAGAGATTTTCACGATCTTTATATAAAAAAGAAAGGTTTGGTTCTCATGTCTTACCAATATGGAATCTTACGCATCCGTGTCGAAAGGGCTGAGCTCACTAACAACTTTGGGAAATGGAGGGGCAGATGACAAATTAGGTGAAATGGAGCATGTGCAAAAAGTTGAAAACAAAATAGAGCATTAAATAACCCTCCATCTGCCAAATTAATTGGGATCAATAAAAATTCAAACCCTTCATCTCACACCTGCTTAGGGTTGGGAGGCTACCCATTTAAACCATTTCAAACCTATATTTTGGATCATATGTAATTGTGTTCATATTACATGTTTCATTTTAAACTATATACTTTCATTGCCACATGTTGTTAATACAGTAACACAAAATCAAGTTCAACTTAATATGATATTAAAAAAAAATAAAACTTTAATACTGTAACATAGCTTTCATCGTTCTAGAGACAAAATATAAAAGAGATGTAGTGGGAGAAGTGGAGGTTTGGGCCAAGAACCAGATTTGAACCGGTGACACGAGGATTTTCAGTCAAGTTCAGGTCATAAAGTCAAAGGTTCCGTTGACGTGCGTTGTAGATTTTTATCCAAGATCTTCTTTCTCCTTATTCTGTTTCGGTTGAGGTGGATAGGGGTCAAGACACAGTCGGGCGCGGCTGACTCAAGTGCCCCCAAACATGCCCGACGACTCACTCCGCTGATGAAATTCGGGCAAGCTTACTCAATATGTGGAGAACCAAGAACCCTGATGTAAAGGACTATGGTAGGTGGCATGTAATAAAAGTTAAACTTAATAGTTGTTGAAACAGTCTACATTTATTTCGATAACTACTCATAATAGTTTTGGATACAAAATACTTCTTAAATACACGTGTCTAATTTATTTTAAATCATGCAACAACGTAAACGTCGTACAAACGAAGCCACTAATTTTAGCTAAGTGATGTCCACGTAAATAAATGGATAATTAATAATAATAATAAATATTGCTGTCTCCATACTCATCTCAACTTAATGCACCAAAAAATTTCTCCAAATATTTGTGTAGGTGGGTTTTGAATGATTAGGTCACAGTGTTACACTACGTTGCGGTCTAATTTCACTGCTAGTAGATAGTATTTGCTTTGACCTGTTATGTTTTGGGCTAAAATAAATAATATGTGTTAACGGTGGACTTGAGTTATTACAAATAGTATTAGAGCTAAATATCGAGCGGTATGCTCGTGAGGACGCTGGGCCTCCCAAGGAGAGTGGATTGTGAGATCTCACATCAGTTGAAGAGGAAAATGAAGTATTCCTTGTGAGTGTATGAAAACTTCTCCATAACAATCACATTTTAAAATCATGAGACTAACGACTACAAGTAACCAGCCAAAATAGATAATTTAAGAAACTAAGCGTGTAATTAAAGAAATTTTAAGGTAGTTCATGTATGAGGTGTGAGCCGGGAAAAATGAGGCACCATTTAATTTATATGATATAGAAACTAGGCTAATTATGGCGTTGTTATTCATTTATGATATTCATTTTATTAAGGGTGGGAAAGAGGTTGTTGGAGTGTAGCACAAAATCGCTAATACTAAAATCTTGTTCCCGTCTCGTTAATTCTTCTTCCCGTCTCGTTAATTCTTCTTGCTCTTGTCGATCCCTTTTATTGTCTTTGGATCAAGTGACCGACCCATTCATCAGAGTATGTTGGGCTGGAATGCCAATATTCCTATCTCATCCTTGATTTATGATCTTTAGGCCTTCCCGCTATCAGCCTCAGTGCAAAAGCATATGAATGTGGAATACTAACTTCTTTCCCCTCAAATTGATATGTGTGATACAAATATTCTGTCACAGATATGTGTGATACAAATACTCTGTCACAGATATGTGTGATACAAATACTCTGTCACATGACATTCGAGTAAAAGAAGGGCACATAAATGGATCGAGACTAGAACAATCCTAAAATTAGGATGACTAAGAAAAAAACTTAAAAGAAATGAAAGTTACTACTTATACTAACAATACACACCTTTTTTCGATAGCTCAAAAATAAGAATTTCATGGTTAAACATAATTTGCTAAGATAGTTTTCACTCTTAGAAACGAAAAAGTAAGAAACGCGCGACCATATCATATCAAACAAGAAGTCAAAAGAAACAAAAATTCTAAAAAAACCAATATTAAATGGGATGATAAATAAGATATAAACTTTATTGGTTAAGAATCATATATTTTTCTTTTCACGATCCCATGGAAAAAACATAAAAGCAATAAATTTAATGAAGTAAATTAATTTTAAATAAAGGGCCGAAGGTAGCATTGGGCCTTGGACTTTGGGCTTTACACTATTTGATGCTGGCCCATTCTGCAACTTAATTAGAACGCCTCGGTAAGAAATAAACCAAGATTAAACGAGTTTAATAATATATCCTTTGCATAGAAAATAAATTAAAAATATGAATTAATAAAATAAAAAGCATTAACCATGAATTGTAGATAAAAATAAAGTCCAACATACTAATTAAAATTGTCCTCCAATCGGGTCTTCTCTCCTAATAATCTGTGGTTTGGGGTGAACACAACCAATTATGCAAAGGTTTTAGCTAACTTAGTGTCCTCAATGTTCTTCCTCTGGCTGGCTTCATAATAATGCCCCGCAAGCGAGTCGAAAAGAATCCCGGCTCCCACGCCCACCGCCAAGTCAATCGTATAGTGACCTCGAGTACCCAACAATCTAATCGCTTGGAGGAGGTTGAGGAAGTCGAACATCCAAGCCATCCCCCACCGTCGCATCCGCCGCATGTCGAGCGATGCTATCACCGATCCCGCCACGTGACCGGAGAAGAACAAGAAGAACGATACGTTTCCCACTGGAAAATCCATCTCCGACCCGAGAAATCCCTACATTTTGTTGGATTATGAAAGTCAAGCATCGGCTAATCTAGGGAATGATCATGGGTTTATAATCAAATAATACTCTTTCCATTAGTACGAGGCTTTTTAGGAAACCCAAAGCAAAGCATGAGAGCTTATGCTCAAAGTGGAGCATATCATAACATGTACCAGAGCCATGCACTAAACTTAGTCGTGTCAATAGATTGGTAAATCCTCCAATATCGAGGAAATGAAAAAAAAGTCAAGCCTCCTAGAAGGCAATAAAAAATGTCTAAGACGAACAAAGGACTCCAAAAGAAAGAAAAAAAACCTCCTAGAAGGTAGTAAAAAATGACTAAAACGAACAAATGACTCCAAAAGAAAAAAAGTCAAGCCTCCTAGAAGTTAGTAAAAAATGACTAAGACGAACAAATGACTCCAAAAAAAAAAGAGTCAAGCCTCCTAGAAGTTAGTAAAAAATGACTAAGACGAACAAAGGACTCCAAATGAAAAAGGGTCAAGCCTCCTAGAAGGTAGTAAAAAATGACTAAGACGAACAAAGGACTCCAAATGAAAAAGGGTCAAGCCTCCTAGAAGGTAGTAAAAAATGACTAAGACGAACAAAGGACTCCAAACGAAAAAGAGTCAAGCCTCCTGGAAGGTAGTAAAAAATGACTAAGACGAACAAAGGACTCCAAACGAAAAAGAGTCAAGCCTCCTAGAAGGTAGTAAAAAATGACTAAGACGAACAAAGGACTCCAAACGAAAAAGAGTCAAGCCTCCTAGAAGGTAGTAAAAAATGACTAAGACGAACAAAGGACTCCAAACGAAAAAGAGTCAAGCCTCCTAGAAGGTAGTAAAAAATGACTAAGACGAACAAAGGACTCCAAATGAAAAAGGGTCAAGCCTCCTAGAAGGTAGTAAAAAATGACTAAGACGAACAAAGGACTCCAAATGAAAAAGGGTCAAGCCTCCTAGAAGCTAGTAAAAAATGACTAAGACGAACAAAGGACTCCAAATGAAAAAGGGTCAAGCCTCCTAGAAGGTAGTAAAAAATGACTAAGACGAACAAAGGACTCCAAATGAAAAAGGGTCAAGCCCCCTAGAAGGTAGTAAAAAATGACTAAGACGAACAAAGGACTCCAAATGAAAAAGGGTCAAGCCTCCTAGAAGGTAGTAAAAAATGACTAAGACGAACAAAGGACTCCAAAAGAAAAAAAACCTCCTAGAAGGTAGTAAAAAATGACTAAAACGAACAAATGACTCCAAAAGAAAAAAAGTCTAACCTCTTAGAAGTTAGTAAAAAATGACTAAGACGAACAAATGACTCCAAAAAAAAAAAGAGTCAAGCCTCCTAGAAGTTAGTAAAAAATGACTAAGACAAACAAAGGACTCCAAATGAAAAAGGGTCAAGCCCCCTAGAAGGTAGTAAAAAATGACTAAGACGAACAAAGGACTCCAAACGAAAAAGAGTCAAGCCTCCTAGAAGGTAGTAAAAAATGACTAAGACGAACAAAGGACTCCAAATGAAAAAGGGTCAAGCCTCCTAGAAGGTAGTAAAAAATGACTAAAACGAACAAAGGACTCCAAACGAAAAAGAGCCAAGCCTCCTAGAAGGTAGTAAAAAATGACTAAGACGAACAAAGGACTCCAAACGAAAAAGAGCCAAGCCTCCTAGAAGGTAGTAAAAAATGACTAAGACGAACAAAGGACTCCAAACGAAAAAGAGCCAAGCCTCCTAGAAGGTAGTAAAAAATGACTAAGACGAACAAAGGACTCCAAACGAAAAAGAGTCAAGCCTCCTAGAAGGCAGCAAAAAATGACTAAGACGAACAAAGGACTCCAAATGAAAAAGGGTCAAGCCTCCTAGAAGGTAGTAAAAAATGACTAAGACGAACAAAGGACTCCAAATGAAAAAGGGTCAAGCCTCCTAGAAGGTAGTAAAAAATGACTAAGACGAACAAAGGACTCCAAACGAAAAAGAGTCAAGCCTCCTAGAAGGCAGCAAAAAATGACTAAGACGAACAAAGGACTCCAAACGAAAAAGAGTCAAGCCTCCTGGAAGGTAGTAAAAAATGACTAAGACGAACAAAGGACTCCAAACGAAAAAGGGTCAAGCCTCCTAGAAGGTAGTAAAAAATGACTAAGACGAACAAAGGACTCCAAATGAAAAAGGGTCAAGCCTCCTAGAAGGCAGTAAAAAATGACTAAGACGAACAAAGGACTCCAAACGAAAAAGAGTCAAGCCTCCTAGAAGGTAGTAAAAAATGACTAAGACGAACAAAGGACTCCAAACGAAAAAGAGTCAAGCCTCCTAGAAGGTAGTAAAAAATGACTAAGACGAACAAAGGACTCCAAATGAAAAAGAGTCAAGCCTCCTAGAAGGTAGTAAAAAATGACTAAGACGAACAAAGGACTCCAAATGAAAAAGGGTCAAGCCTCCTAGAAGGGAGTAAAAAATGACTAAGACGAACAAAGGACTCCAAATGAAAAAGGGTCAAGCCTCCTAGAAGGGAGTAAAAAATGACTAAGACGAACAAAGGACTCCAAATGAAAAAGGGTCAAGCCTCCTAGAAGGGAGTAAAAAATGACTAAGACGAACAAAGGACTCCAAATGAAAAAGGGTCAAGCCTCCTAGAAGGGAGTAAAAAATGACTAAGACGAACAAAGGACTCCAAATGAAAAAGGGTCAAGCCTCCTAGAAGGGAGTAAAAAATGACTAAGACGAACAAAGGACTCCAAATGAAAAAGGGTCAAGCCTCCTAGAAGGGAGTAAAAAATGACTAAGACGAACAAAGGACTCCAAATGAAAAAGGGTCAAGCCTCCTAGAAGGGAGTAAAAAATGACTAAGACGAACAAAGGACTCCAAATGAAAAAGGGTCAAGCCTCCTAGAAGGGAGTAAAAAATGACTAAGACGAACAAAGGACTCCAAATGAAAAAGGGTCAAGCCTCCTAGAAGGGAGTAAAAAATGACTAAGACGAACAAAGGACTCCAAATGAAAAAGGGTCAAGCCTCCTAGAAGGGAGTAAAAAATGACTAAGACGAACAAAGGACTCCAAATGAAAAAGGGTCAAGCCTCCTAGAAGGGAGTAAAAAATGACTAAGACGAACAAAGGACTCCAAATGAAAAAGGGTCAAGCCTCCTAGAAGGGAGTAAAAAATGACTAAGACGAACAAAGGACTCCAAATGAAAAAGGGTCAAGCCTCCTAGAAGGGAGTAAAAAATGACTAAGACGAACAAAGGACTCCAAATGAAAAAGGGTCAAGCCTCCTAGAAGGGAGTAAAAAATGACTAAGACGAACAAAGGACTCCAAATGAAAAAGGGTCAAGCCTCCTAGAAGGGAGTAAAAAATGACTAAGACGAACAAAGGACTCCAAATGAAAAAGGGTCAAGCCTCCTAGAAGGGAGTAAAAAATGACTAAGACGAACAAAGGACTCCAAATGAAAAAGGGTCAAGCCTCCTAGAAGGGAGTAAAAAATGACTAAGACGAACAAAGGACTCCAAATGAAAAAGGGTCAAGCCTCCTAGAAGGGAGTAAAAAATGACTAAGACGAACAAAGGACTCCAAATGAAAAAGGGTCAAGCCTCCTAGAAGGGAGTAAAAAATGACTAAGACGAACAAAGGACTCCAAATGAAAAAGGGTCAAGCCTCCTAGAAGGGAGTAAAAAATGACTAAGACGAACAAAGGACTCCAAATGAAAAAGGGTCAAGCCTCCTAGAAGGGAGTAAAAAATGACTAAGACGAACAAAGGACTCCAAATGAAAAAGGGTCAAGCCTCCTAGAAGGGAGTAAAAAATGACTAAGACGAACAAAGGACTCCAAATGAAAAAGGGTCAAGCCTCCTAGAAGGGAGTAAAAAATGACTAAGACGAACAAAGGACTCCAAATGAAAAAGGGTCAAGCCTCCTAGAAGGGAGTAAAAAATGACTAAGACGAACAAAGGACTCCAAATGAAAAAGGGTCAAGCCTCCTAGAAGGGAGTAAAAAATGACTAAGACGAACAAAGGACTCCAAATGAAAAAGGGTCAAGCCTCCTAGAAGGGAGTAAAAAATGACTAAGACGAACAAAGGACTCCAAATGAAAAAGGGTCAAGCCTCCTAGAAGGGAGTAAAAAATGACTAAGACGAACAAAGGACTCCAAATGAAAAAGGGTCAAGCCTCCTAGAAGGGAGTAAAAAATGACTAAGACGAACAAAGGACTCCAAATGAAAAAGGGTCAAGCCTCCTAGAAGGGAGTAAAAAATGACTAAGACGAACAAAGGACTCCAAATGAAAAAGGGTCAAGCCTCCTAGAAGGTAGTAAAAAATGACTAAGACGAACAAAGGACTCCAAAAAAAAAAGAGTCAAGCCTCCTAGAAGTTAGTAAAAAATGACTAAGACAAACAAAGGACTCCAAATGAAAAAGGGTCAAGCCCCCTAGAAGGTAGTAAAAAATGACTAAGACGAACAAAGGACTCCAAACGAAAAAGAGTCAAGCCTCCTAGAAGGTAGTAAAAAATGACTAAGACGAACAAAGGACTCCAAACGAAAAAGAGTCAAGCCTCCTAGAAGGTAGTAAAAAATGACTAAGACGAACAAAGGACTCCAAACGAAAAAGAGTCAAGCCTCCTAGAAGGCAGTAAAAAATTACTAAGACTCCAAAGGAGTCGAGCCTCGATTAAGGGGAGGCGTAATTTGTTCGAGGGGAGGTGTTGGATTATGAAAGTCCCACATCTGCTAATTTAGGGAATAATCATAGGTTTATAATAAAAAAAGTACCCTCCCCATTTGTACCCATTTGTATGAGAACTTTTGGGGGAGCCCAGAACAAAGTTATGAGAGCTTATGCTGAAAGTGAACAATATCATTCCGATTGTGGAGAGTGTGTTCTTCTAACACATTTTAAAACCAAAATCAAGTAAATGCTCGAGCATAATAGAGCATGACCATGACACAAGACACACCTGAGGGAGTGGAAGTTGGGTGGAATAGCCGAGAATGCCACGGCAAGTGAACATGAACAAGGCCGAAATGGTGGCCCTTGGTCGGCCTTCGATTAGCCAACTCCATAATATATATGTTGTTTGCATTCCCACAAACACCTACAATTTTTCATCCAAATAATTAAAACTATTTTTTAAATTTTTTTAAATTTGATTCTAAAATAAATCATTAGAAAATTATAACTATTGCACAGAACTCAGAAAATAAAAAGAAATTAATAATTCAGGCATGCATTAATATAAGGACGATAACTGATTGGTCGAGTAAAGTTGGGAAAACAAAAGGCTAACCGTGTTCAGAGCCGCTAGCAGCGTATTCAGCTCTGGCCACGAGGACAACACGCGATGCACCGGGCGCGTGAGCGCAAACCCCAAATCGAACGGTGGAGAAGCCGGCGGAACCATCCGGAGAGTGTACTCCACGCCCATAAAGAACAACAGACCCATAGCGAAAACGCACGGTATCCAGTGATACCTCGCCACGTGTGCCACATCTTCCACCGTCCATCTCATACACGACGCCTTCCGGAACCCTTTATAATAGTGTCCGCCGCCATCGCCGCTGTGGAAATCCTTGTTCGTCATCTTCCCTCCGTCCTTTCCGTTTCCGTTTCCTATACCGTTTCCGTTGCGGCTATCTATTCTATGCCGGAGATTGCCGGTTAGTGTTGTTGCAGCACCGTTGGATGCCATCGGAGATCGCGGAGGAGCGCATTGAAGGAAGGGTGGGAGAGTTTTATAGATCGGGGTTTGGTGGCGGAGGTATCGAGGAAGAGGATGGGGATGGGGAAATTTCAGAGATCTCAGATTTTTCTTAAAAATGTGAGGGGGAAAAATGGCGAATTCTTAATGATAAAGTAGGTGAGAGATTGGTGTTCCGTGGCTGAGCTATTGATAATTAATTGAAACCCTAGTCTTTCCTGGGTAACATCTCAAGCCCCAGGCCTTTTAATATATTATCATGATCTGCTCTACCGTTTTAAAACATGTCTATTAGTAAGAGATTTTCACACTTTTATAAAAAAATAATTTGTTCCCTCTCCAACCAACGTGTAATCTCACATACGATTACACATACTCAATTGTTGGTTTATTCAATTTTTATTTCCTAGTTGCCTTTAATGCACCCATATGCATTTTTAAGTAAAAATAACATTTCCAAATTAAGAATATTTATTATTATTATAATAATAATAATAATAATAACAATAATTGTGCTTTTAGATGGTTTAATATTTTAATTATACTAATTTTAGGGTTCAGTTGTAATAATCTTTTGTTTCAATTAGAGCTGTGTAACAAAAAATTGATTAGTTTAATTACTTAATATGACATAAACGTGTTTCAAATTTCAACTTTTTTATTAAAATTATTAAAATTGTTGTTTTTTTATTAAAAAATAATTTATTCAAATTGTTAGAGGCAGACTTCATGGGGCCCACCACTAGACAAAAAAGACTATTACTCAAAATTTCCACGTCATTGGTGGGAATAATTATTGACACTCCACATTTTACATGTGAATTTTTCATTTTTAAAAAATAAAAATATATTAAATTAATAAAAATATCGGTTTCAGACAATGTTATTAAATTAAAAAATTTAGAGATATTTTTTTAGACTATATTTTTTATAAGTATATCTTTAAATAATTAAATAACTTCACACAAAATTCTTAATGAAGATGATGATATTCCCACCAATAAAAACTTTTTGTGGATTAGGGATTTAGGAGGAACGAAATAGTATTCCAGTAATTATTATTATTTGAATTTGTTTTTTCTCTCTTTATCTTTTATTTATTTCTCTTTCTTCTCAAACACCAAATCCAACTACGGATAATGGCATCCAATGGAGTCTTGCCGCGTGTACCACACTCTCCACCCTCCATCTCACACACAAATCTTATCAAGCATGATAATACTGTTACGGGTGCCGTCGCCTCAATCCTTATGTAATTTGGAATTTAGCATCATATTTATTCATTTATAATTTATTCATTTATAATTTATTCATTTATAATTTATTCATTTATAATTTAATGTTGATGAATTGCACGCCATGATCTTGTATTTAAAGGCATTGAATTTGAAATAATTATTCAATTAAATCGTCTATTCATATGGTATACGTAGATTACTATGTTGTTTGACGTGTGATGTAGGTACCATGAAGCTCCCCACTAGGTACAATATTCTTTTAAAAAGAACATGTTGAACGTAATTTTAATGAACTATTAAATATTTTTTAAAATGATGTAGATCGTTAAATAAAAGCTACACATCACATTTATGATCAAAATTATAATTTAGTATGTTCAACACTAGAGATATCATATATGTATTGTTCCCTGATCATTAATTTGGTATGTCCAATAATGTTTAATTTCTTTTTCCTAAGAGAAGTTCTGTGGGCACGTCTTTTCTCTCCGATCAATGTAAAAAAATTTTAGAGTGATAAGCTGAACTAGCTACAACTAGCTACTGTACCATTGGTATACAAGTCATCCAAACGCTTTAAAATCTTTTGAGTTATTATCAATCAAATACACCAAGTGGTCAACCAAATCAAGAGAGAATGCTCAACAAACTCCCACTCATAATCGAACATAAATATAAACAAAACATACAAACATAAATATAAAGAGATAGGGAGGGCTATCAGGTCAGGTTTGTATTTGAGACAGAAGTGAAACCCTAATAGCTCTAATCATGTCCGACAAAGAGATCAGCCCAAGCAGCAAACCATGTTCATCAGTCACCCAAATTCTATGCACATGTTTCGACACTACCTTCTCCATCACTTCCTTCATCGAGCTTTCCTCTCCGCACGTCACCAGTTCTCTCCCTCCCGCCGTCGTCCCCTCCAGCAGCGCGCTCTTCCCGATCGTCTCCGTGAACTCCAATGCCGTCTGCTGCAGCCACGTCTGCAGCGTCGCGAGGTGACACCCTCTCAGATCCGTCGCAGAAAACGTCCCACCTAGCTTTCTTCCTCTCCCCTAAGAGGATTAAGAATGTTAGGAATCACAAATCTCCACAATGGTAGGATATGATATTGTTCACTTGGACATACGGTAAAAAGCTGGGTGTGGGTGTGGTCGCCGCCCAGCTGTGTGCTTCTAACAATAGGAACAGCATTGAGAAAGCTAGATTTCATGCACTTTATGGCTTCGATTACTTTGGTTTTATCTGTAATGGCCATAACATTTTCATTAATGGCTCCCATTTCCTTCACACTTTGTCCCAAAGTCTGTTGCATTTCTGGGATTTGTTGACTTAGAAACCTCAACACGTCCATTTGTGTCAGCATTCTGTAGCTGGATGCCGACTTGACCAGCTCCACCCCAGCCGCCTCCCCATCGATGGGCACCATCGCCCGGTGGATCCCCATGCTGAATAACTCCATACACTCTAATATGCTGTCAACAACATCGTCAATAACCCAAACCAAAAAACTTAATCACCACATTCACAATCAATTACCAAATGACTATTCATCATAATATATTAAATAAATAAATAATATTTTATTTAAAAGGCTCAGGGTTATTGAGAGTGAGTTCACGTTGGTTAATTTAGTGAAAGATCATGAATGAGAAATATCATACCATTTTGGACCATTGTGATTCTTAACATGTATCAGATCCATGACCTAAACTTAACCATGTCAATACAATCCTCAAATATGGAACAAAGAACTGTGAGCCTCGAAGGTGTAGTCAAAAGTGACTAAAGTGTCGAACAAATGGTACTTTGTTCGAGGGCTCTAGAGAAAGGAGTCGAGCCTATTCCAGAACTCCATAAGCCTCATGAGAGGATTGTTGAGGGTTATTAGGAGTGAATCCCACGTTGATAAATAAATATTTTTATAAGATATTATATTATAATATAATAAATATTCGAATATATTATTTGAGTAAGAACATTATGATTAGAAAACGTTAGGATAATTCAGCATAATCTCTGAATCAAACAAACCTGGTGTTGGGGCTCAAAGTCCAGAGACTCAACCCTTCAACGTTATTACCAATAATCGACGACACCGGAACCGCCATCTTCCGTTCGAGATCGACGAGACCAGGACCATCCTCCTCGCCAGCAATATGAGCCAAGATATCAAGCATGGTCACCATCCCAATATAGTGCTTTCTAAGAACCCCAGTCTGCTTATCAGTCTCCATGATCATGGATCCACCGGCACCGATCCATTGGCCAGGCGGCGCCGCCACGGGGACCGCCACAACGCGGTTAGCGACGAGAACGTTCATTGTGTGAGCGAGAGAGGCTGAATACGGCACCTCCACCAACCGCTTGTTGTCCTTCATCAGATCTTTCACCTTCTTCTCTCCGATCGCCTGAGCCTCCGCTTCCCTCGCCGTCTGTTGCATTCTCTTTTGATTATTTTATTATTATTATTTTTTTTTTTTTTTTTGCTTTTTCGGTGGATTTTTTTTTTTTTTTCAATTTTTAATTTTCTTTTGGGCGTTGTGATTTGGGAAATTGAGGATTTTGTAATGGGTGTGGATGGGAAATTAGAAAAGAAAGCTTTCAGGTGTCGACCTCTCAAGGGCTTCGTTTGCATGGCGGTCGTGCATTCGACACGTACCTAACCCTATTATTAGTAATTTTATTATTATTTTCTTTTTAGCTTTTTATTTTAACAAAATTATTAAAAAAACAATCTTTTATTGGAATAAAATGAAATGTTTTTTAAATAAAAAAAGAAAAAAGGAAGCCTTCAGATTTTGCAATGGGCCCACGTGGAGGGCCCAATTCACCGAAGCCCAAGGCTGAAGCTCGAAAATCCCGTGAGCTCCATAAATATGAATAATTAATAACATTCCTCTCTATCTTGTTACAAATCCTCCCCCTTCGAATTCTCGTGACCCAATAAATTCTCAAAAGAACACTATAAATTCCCAAATTTGCCCTTTTCTTCTTCAAATTCCTCCAATGGCGGCCTTAATTCAAATCTCCCATCTCCTACTTTTCATCCTTCTCTACTATCCTTCCCTCTCTGCTTCCTTCACCGTCATTATGTCTGACTCCGGCGCTCCCTCTGCCCTTGTCGACGGCCCTCAATCCGGCTTCTCCCTCCATAACGCCGCCGTCCGTACCGACCCCGCCGAACAATCCGCCGTCTATGATATCATGTCCGCCACCGGCAATCCCTGGGCCACCCAAATCCCCGACGTCTGCGGCGGCCGCTGGCACGGCATTGAATGTATGCCTGATAATCACAATCTCTTCCATGTTGTTTCTCTCTCTTTCGGGTCGCTCTCCGACGATACCGCATTTCCGACCTGCGACCCGACCCGATCCACTATTTCTCCTTCTCTCGCTAAACTCCCCCATCTTCGGACACTGTTCTTCTACCGTTGTTTTACTGATAATCCGCAAATTGTCCCTTCGTTTTTGGGCCAGTTGGGCCCTTCCTTGCAGACTTTGGTCCTACGAGAGAATGGGCTTATTGGCCCAATTCCCAGTGAATTGACTAATTTGACCCGGCTCAAGGTTTTGGATCTTCATGGGAATAACCTAAACGGGTCGATTCCGGTTGGCTTGAACCGTTTGGTCGGTCTGCGGTCGTTGGATTTGAGTTGGAATAAGTTGACTGGTTCGATCCCGAGTTTGGCGTTGGATAATTTGAGAATACTCGATTTGAGTCAAAATCTTTTGACTGGTTGGATTCCAAATAGGATTGTGACATGTCAGTCTCTGATTAAATTGGATTTAAGTCGTAATAGCTTGATGGGAGTAATCCCAGAATCCATTACCAAGCTTAAGGATCTCGTACTTTTGGATTTGAGTTATAATCAAATCTCGTGTCCACTTCCAGTGTCGCTTCAGCATTTGAGCTCGTTAGAGGTTTTGATCTTGAAAGGAAACCCAATGGGTTGTACCATTTCTAATGATCTATTCGACGGCATGTTGAGCTTGATGACGTTGATTCTTTCTAATATGGGCTTTCACGGACCAATTCCTAGGTCTTTGGGTCGATTGCCCAATCTTCGAGTCCTACATCTTGATGCCAACTACTTTAACGGTTCAATCCCCTCAAACTTTCAAGATTTGAGAAACCTCAACGTTCTAAGACTCAACGATAACATGTTAACCGGACGAATCCCACTGCAGAAACAAACGATATGGAAGATGAAGAGGAAGCTTACATTATACAATAACTCAAACTTGTGTTACGACTCTGAGACCGGAGTTGTCGACATGTCAGCCTCACCATATAGTGTCGGTATCGGTCCATGTAATGGCCCAAATTCTGAACCGAGTCGAACCGTACAACACGTTTCTAAAAGTAAAAAAAATGTAACTAGAAGTGATACATCGTCCGAGACGCGTCGTACAAGCTCTATTCTAGTTTGGCTGTTTCAACTAACTACTTGTATTTGGCTCATCATTAAATTATTATAACATAAAGTGTAAGATAAAGCTTATTTGTTTTTTTTTTATATAAATATATATAATTGTGTAGGGTATCTTTAGGCCCAGTAAACTTTTGTGTCACGTGGGCCTGACCCATTAGGTGGTAATTTAATTTAATAAAAAATATGGTAACAGGTAGCATATAAAGTAATATGAATATGTTTATTATAAAGACTAAATATATTAATAAATTTAGTGATTTAAATGGTATTTTAATTTGTTAATTATTATTGTTGTTTTTTTGAAAATGATTTGAAATATATTAATTAGAATCCCCAAAAAAGACAAAAGAACAGAGAGAGAGACAGATATGAAGGCGTGAAGAAGACTACAGGCGCGCCTCCACTCTCTCTCTTCTTTCTCTCTCTACAAAACGCTCTCATTCGTCGTCGTCTGAGCCTCTCTGTCTTTGGAAGCCCAACACTCGGCGAGCTTCTCTTTTTAACTGTTTGACAGCCAAATTCAAAATCAAAATCAAACCATTTCCCTTTTACTCTTTTCAAATGTTTGTTTCTTCCTCTATTCCTTTACGATTCGCATCTCTATTGTTTTCTACGTTCTGCGTACAAATTAAGAAACAAGAAGCTTAGTTCTTCTTTAGTGCAAGTGGGTGTGATTTGGCTCCGTGTTCATGGCCTTTCGCGCGATGTTTTGCTGTGGAATTGGTTCTGCACGGTACGTTTAATACTTGAAACTCTGTGTTCATTTACTTCATCAAGTTATTTGGTACTGATATGGAATGTTTGGGCTACCCTTCTTTGCCATTTCCCCCCCCTTTTCTGTGCCCCTTTTTGGTTATCGCTTAAAATCTTTAGTTTTCTGGAAATCTGATGTGTATTGTATTGGGTTGGAATTTGGGGCTCGGGTGTGACTTTGAACTTGCGAGATATTGTTCAAACTTCTAAGGGGAATTTTATCGAGCACTTTGTGGGCATGATGTTTTGGGAGGAAAGAGTGACATAAGAAGTTTTAGTGAACTTTGATTCTTCATCTGATTGTCCTGATTCATATGATTGAAGGTTTTGTTTGTTGACTGTTTCATTGTGCAGGAAAGGAAGAGGGAAGAAACATCAAACATGGAGGGTCTTTTCATTGAAGGAGTTGCACTCGGCCACAAATAATTTCAATTATGATAACAAGCTTGGAGAAGGAGAATTTGGTAGCGTTTACTGGGGTCAGCTTTGGGATGGATCACAAGTAATCAATGCCTTAACTTTTCTCAATACAAACTCTAGTGTCATTATTTGCTCAATAATCATCCAAGGAAGCCTATCTTATCATATTTCATCCTATCATTGATGTGACATAGATTCTTTGATTTAAGTTTTAAATTTGGAATATTCCTTCTCAACATGTTTCAAGGAAATTGTGCACCTTTCTTGATTGTTCTAAACTTACCCAGTCATTTTAGCACCATTTAAGTACTTATTTGCTTGGTTTTAAACTATTGTAAGCGATTGAGTTAGGATCTCGCCCGTGTTTTATAATCCATTGGATGTAGTAGAGTCTTTCAGTTCAAGAGGTGAAGTTTACACTTTGAAACTTCATGTACATGCTCCGTATCATGTAAAATTTTCCAGATGTTTGTCGCATGATCGTGAAAGGATGGTGTAACGACCTAAGCCCACCACTAGTAGATATTGTCATTTTTGAGCTTTCCCTTTCGGGCTTCCGCTCAAGATTTTTGAATCGCGTCTGCTAGGGAGAGGTTTTCACACCCCTTGTAAAGAGTGCTTTGTTCCCCTCTCCAACCGATGTGGGATCTCACAATCCACCGGGCGCTTAGTGTTCTCGTTGGCACTCGTTCCCTTCTCCAATCAATGTGAGACCCCCCAATCCACCACCTTCGAGGTCCAACGTCCTTGTTGGCACACTGCCTTGTGTCCCACCCTCCTTTGGGGCTCAGCCTCTTCGTTGGCACCTAGTGTCTCCCTCTGATACCATTTGTAACAGCCCAAGCCTACCGCTAGCATATATTATCCTCTTTGGACTTTCTCTTTCGGATATCCACTCAAGGTTTTTAAAACACGTCTGCTAAGGAGAGGTTTTCACACCCATACAAAGAGTGCTATGTTCCTCTTGGATCTCGTAGATGGTGACGCTGGCTGTTTGGTTGGTTTGGTACTGCTTCTATCAAGAAAATTCTTCTCTTGTTCTGTTTGGTTTCTTGGCAGCAGAATGTTACTCTTCGTGATTATTTCTATTGTGTTCGTGATAATATAGGATTGACAATAAATTGTTGCTAGCTAAGTGTGCTTTCGCTCGAGAGGCTTAAGTTAAGTGTTTATGATAAGGAGTTAATACCATACAAGGAATCTTGGTTGTAAATTAATCCCTCTTTTGCATACTTCTAGGATTGAAGTACCATATCAGTACTTCGAACATGTTAACATTATTTGTATTTTGAGTTACCAACACTGCAACCGATTCTGAATGAAATGCTTTTGCAGATTGCAGTTAAGAGGTTGAAGGTTTGGAGCAACAAAGAAGACATGGAATTCTCTGTTGAAGTCGAGATACTGGCCCGAGTTCGGCATAAGAATCTATTGAGTTTACGTGGCTATTGTGTTGAAGGGCAAGAGCGTTTGATCGTGTACGACTACATGCCCAATCTAAGTCTTCTCTCCCATCTACATGGGCATCACTCTTCAGAATCCCAACTCGATTGGAAACGTCGTATGAAAATCGCTATCGGGTCTGCCGAGGGAATTGCGTAAGTATACACGTCTTCATTTATCTTCCATCGTTCTTCACATTATAACGCTCCTAATTTTGTTTGGTCCAGCTATCTTCACCACCAAGCAACTCCACGTATAATTCATCAAGACATCAAACCAAATAACGTTTTGCTCGATCCAGACTTCCAAGCTCGTGTAGTCGACTTCGGGTTCGCAAAACTCATCCCCGATGATGCAACACATGTAACAACAGGAGTCAAGGGCACACTCGGATACCTCGCTCCAGAATACGGTATGTCAGGGAAGGCATCAGAGAGTTGTGATGTATATAGCTTCGGCATTCTCCTGCTCGAACTCGCAACCGGAAAGAAACCTCTTGAGAAGTTGAGTGCAACAACGAAACGCACAATCACAGAGTGGGCACTGCCAGTAGTAGTTGAGAAAAAATACAACGAACTTGCAGATCCAAAGCTAAATGGAGAGTACAATGCAGACGAGCTAAAGCGAGTCGTCCTCGTTGCACTCAGTTGCTCCCATTCACGGCCTGAGAAACGTCCCACCATGCTCGACGTCGTAGAGCTCCTAAAAGGAGAATCAAAAGAGAAGGTAGCCAAGTTAGAAGATGATGAACTGTTCAAGAGCCATCAAGTAGGTGCAGCACAAACTACAGAAACAGCAGCAGCTGGTGAAGATAGCTCAGACTTGATTTCAGAAGAAAAGGATTCAAAAGAGAATTCAACACCAAACCCACATGAGAATAGCAGCTAAGTCTTCTTCCTTCTTCCTTTTTTCTTTCCCCATTTCCCTTTGGAGGCTCTGGCTGTCACTTACAAAAGCATGTCAGAGTGGTAAATTTGGGTACTCATTATGATTCTCAAGCATTGTTTTATGAGTGCAGCTGAGATTTGTATGATTTGTTTTGGCTCTTTTTGTTCTTATTTGTGTATGTGTGTATGTATTGTATTGTATTGTATTGTAAGTGGCATCAAACTGTATCCAACTTTCTGGGTTCTCTCTGTGTGTGCATGTACAGACTTCTTCTTGCTTTCATTTTGTTTCTTTGTTTTGTTGTTTTAGGAAGGAGAAGATTCATTTAACAGACTTGTATTAAAAATATTAGATTTTTTTAACATTTAAAATATAGACACGAGACCGAGGTTCAGCAGCAAACAGATCTGTGGAAATCCGTTGAAATTCATAGAACCAAAGGAGTAGTCATCTCGAGCTTTTGGAGTTTGTTGTCTGCTTTTAATTTAATCGATCACTCGTCCAATAGTTCAAAATTGTTATCTTGAAAGGAAAAAGTCGAGTTGAATTGTTTGATTGTTACAATCGAATTCTTTATCAAATAAATATTTTTTTAAGGTAAGCTACATTTATTTTTCTTTCTCGTAATTATTTTATAGAATAAATATTTGATTATTTTTCATGAAGTGTGAACAAATGTAAATAAAAATTTTACAAATATTATGTCTCTAATTGACTAGAATAATATAAATTTTATATTTTTCACTCGAAAATGAGTCGGGCATGATTGTGGAGGTTAACTTGAGTCGTCTAAAGGTCTTTAAACTTTCATATTTCTATCGATTATGACTTTGAAAGTATCAAATATTCCTTCAAACCTCACTTTTGTGTACAATAAGCCATTGAATTTTCAATTTTATGGTTGAACAAAAACATTTAAATGAAAATAAGCAGAGAAACGATATAAGTAAAGTAAAATAAAATAATGTCCTATTCAAACTTAAGGTTATGAAAAGATGAAATTTATCTACCATTACACAAGTTTTCATGGTCTTCAACACGCCATCACTATCATCCGTACAGAGGTGTCTTGCCTTTACATAAACAAAATTTATATCAAAGCCAGACACCAAGCTATACGAGGACGCTGTCCCTTAAGAGAGGTGAATTTAGAGATCCCACACCAGTTGGAAATGAGAACAAAATATTTTTTTATAAGGGTAGGAAAACCTATCCTTGACCGACGTATTTTAAAAGTGTGAGACTGACATAATGGACTAAAGCTGACAATATCTATTAATGGTGATCATGAACGGTTTACTTTTTCTCTCTTCTCCTCGGCCTCCTCACACCTATGTAATAGACCAAAATCTAAAGTAAGTAGGTCTTCTTGCTTTGCCCAAACCTTTCCTCTCTCCATATGATGAAGCCTTCCATAAATTCAAAAGGAATGGATAAAGAGAGAATTAGATACCTTCATTAATTTCCCCACCATATGAAACAAAACATGATTCCATCTTTGATTTATACATATATATACATATATATATATATTCTTTTCCAAAGTACTTTGAGGAGAAAAGGTAAAGCTATGAATATTAGATATATAATAATTTTCGAGTAATTTTTTTAATATATTTAAAAAATTTAAAAGTTTATTGATATATTAGATATAAAATTTATATTTAAATTCAATGAGATGTTTAGCAAAATAATAATAATAATAATAAAATGAGTAACCGATGAGAGGGGCCACCTTTGTACACATGGCGGGAGAAGGGCGCGAGTAGGAGGATATAAGACTTTCGGCACTCGCGCGTGGAAATTTCTGGATTTAAAAGTAAAATTGTTAGCGCGAGTCCATATGTAAAAGGAAAAACCTCCTCCATTGCGTAACGGTCCTCTCCTCTCTATTTGAAAGCTCAGAACCAACCAACAAACAAACTTCCCCGAAATCCCTCCATTTTTCTTCCCTCGTCTTTTCCGATTTCAAATTCTCGATCTCACTCGAACCCTAGCTGCTTCAGAGCCCTAGGATGCGAAGGATTGGCGGTCCCCGAGAGAGGAGTAAGATCGGTAACTTATGGCGTTTCAACCGCTTCATTGATAACCGGTGCTTGGCTCCGCTTACACTCGACGGAGACGGTGATGTTGACGCTCTCAGACGGCGACCTTATCGGTTGCTTCCTCGGCTGGAGCTCATTGATCTCTTTGTCCTCAAGCTCGACGGCTCTGTATTTGGTGATTCCTTTGCCATTTCTGTCCTCTTTTTTCGTTCTTTCTTTTTTACTCTGTTTCTTGCAAGAAATCAGAACTATATCATGTATGAACTTTGATTTTTCTTCGAGATGAACTATCGTTTGCTATTTAGGTGGTCGAGATGAAACTTGAAAGCGGCATGGAAACGGAAAGTGCTTAAAGACAACCTGCTTAAGAATTAAGAGAATAGAATCGATTACTTTTATGAGAACACTGTAATGGAAAGTGTTTGAAAAGAGTGACTAATTAAAGTGTAATGGCTTATGGCGAATGTGACTAAGATAAATGCGATATCAAGAAAAGTAACTCTCGTTATTCCTTTACATTATTCCCCTTTTTTCCCCTGCTTTATAGCTGTGGAGAACGTGTACAGTGAAAATAACCAGATATTTGAAGCTAATCGTTCTTTGTATTGCTAGAATTACAGTATTATTAACTATAATTTGAATGGATTTCGTTTGGTTTGGCTATCCAGGTGTTCGTGTAGCGCGCAATGGTACAGTAGCAGATCTCAAACAAGCGATAGAGGAAGTTTTTGATTCACCCGGGGCGAGCGAACACTGCAAGATTACATGGTAGTATTGACCATCTTATGAGACTTGTGACTAATTTTACCACCTTTGATTTTGTTTTTGTTTCTTTTGGGAGGTTTGTAATTTTATTTGAGCTTTGCATGAATGCATGTGCTCGTAGGTCACTTGTCTGGGGACATTTCTGCTTATGTTATGAAGGCGAAAAGCTTATTGATGACAAGGCATACATTAGAGTTGTAGGCATCAAAGATGGTGATCAGGTGTGACAATGTAGTGATGTGTCTCTTGCTTGTTTATTGAGTTGAATACTGCTGATCTGTAGCTTTTAATGTTTTGCCCTCGTATATTATGCAGCTTCAGTTTATTAGGCATATGTCCATCAACTGTCTACCAATGAAGAGAGATAGGAAGAACCAAGCCGTTCCTTGCAAAACAGTGTTGTTGTAAGTTGCTCTTTCTTATGGATACAGTAGCACATGCGTCTGTTTCTTACAAAACGGTGTTGTTTGGTGTTGTTCTTTTTAGTGGCTGCACTAACACATGGCACATGCATACGTATGCCAATCCACGGGCTGATACCATTCTAATTTCTGAATGCAATTGCTCAATTTGAGGGTTTATTTACTCGACATGAATTAGGAATTAGTTAATGAAATGTTTTATAGGAATCTTTCACAAAATTCTCAACTAATATTATCAATTAATTAGAATGATTTGTTATTAGACTATGATATTTGATTCATCAAATATAGTATTATTGCATACTCTTTCATAATGAATGGCGCAACTCCCAAGTTTGTAATCTAATTTTTTGCCTCAAAATAAATCCACATTGAGGGGAGTCAACAATTTGTTCAGAATCATTTCCAAAATCAAATTTCCATTGTTTCTATTTCACATTTTCAGTAATGCAGTTGTAATCTCTGTTGCATTTCTCATTTCTACAAATAAATAGCATCCATACTCATCATTAGACTAGCCTTTATCATCTAGGACTTACAATTCTTAATTTCTGTAGCGTAGTTCGATACAAAGACAAATTTCTCAATATTTGCTTCTTACTCTGTTCTACTAGATATTTAACTTTTACTTCCCATAAAGTCTGCCAGCAGAATCAAAATCTATTGAAGGGAATCAAGTAGCTGGTCAAGGCGATCCGGTGAATTATGAAGTTCACGAGGACGGTTCCAACCAGGAGGAGATTCCTATGGCTGGATTTCAGCTAGCAAATATCTTTAGAGGACGGGTATTATATTCCAAGATATGGGGGTTTTTTAGAAGTGCATCAGAAGGCAGGAATAGGCCTTCTTCCGGTTTCTGCATTACTTGACTTAGCAAATGGACATGGAATAACACAAGCTGCAAGGTAAATTAGCCTAGCCATTTGAAGTTATGAAACAATTTGTGTGCTATTCTCTGTCTTTTGTTTGCCATTAACTAAGTGGCCACCGGAACTAGGATGTGCAGAGATTGAAACTTTAGCATTTGATTTATGAACATGACAAGTTAGATTCTAGAATAAAGAAGTGAGAGAGAGAAGATTGACTCTGACATGTATATATCAGCCTGGATTTGTTGTTGGATGTTTCTGTATAAAGTTCTTTTACTTCCCTTCCAACTCTCCTCTTTCAATCTCCTGTGGTTCCGCTGAACTTAGAAGCAATTTTCTTAAGTTAATGTGGAGAGGAAGTAAGTATTTTTAAGGACTTCGTGACTTTTGAGTTTGTTTCCAAAGTAATTTTCATGGGTTTAGAACAAAATTTCAAGTGAAAGTGTTTTCAAGCCCTGTTATTGTATTTGATTTGTTTTCATGGTGGACGACTAGGTTCTAAAAACGATTGAAGTTGTTATTTCTGTCTAAAACTAATGGATGTGTGAGTGTGAGTAGTGATTTATATTCTAATTAACATGAGATTCTACCTTAGTTGGGGAGAGGAACAAAACATTTTTTATAAGGATATAAAAACCGCTCTCTATCATATATGTTTTAAAATCTTGAGGGGAAATTCGAGAGGAAACTCCAAATAATACAATATCAGCGGACTTGAGTTACATTTACATACCACTCATTTAAACGATATGTATCAATAAAATTAATTAGTGTACACTAACTATCATGTCATTTTGTTGAGTTAGGTTAATTCCACTTGAGAAAGAAATACAAAATAATAATTTAAAATCAAAATTAAAATTGAATATGAATATGTCAATTTTTTAAAACTAAACGTGAGATCTTTTCAATTGCATAAAAGAACACACAAATGTGAGCCAAATTTGAAGAACATGATTATTATTGAAGAAGTAAAGGAAGTAAAAAGAAAAAAATAACAATTTATACTAAAATAACAATTATAATAATAAAACTTAAACTCATCGTTACTCGCGAAATCTTAGAAACTCTATCCAATAGATTCTCAATAGTAAGAAGTTAATCAATTTAATCTCTTAATTTAAAATTAGTTCATACGCATAAATAAATTTCTTACAAAATTTAGACTATCTATTTGAAAATCATCAAATATTTAAAAGATGGATCGAAATTCATTCATCTATGAAATTTTAAACGTGGATATAAACGGACGTTTTTCAAATAGAACATGACAAATCGTATCAGATACCCTTATGAATATCTATGCTTTAAACGGATATAATTAATTTGACAAATTTTGTATTTTTTTTTTTTTTTATTATTTGAGTTGAACGGACTTTTTTTATTTTTATTTTTTATTATTTGAGTTGAACGGACATTTAAAAATTATTATTATTTTTTCCTTATTTGCCTGAATTCACACCCACTTAACATTTATATAAACCCCTTTAAAATCCCAATAAACGCTCCTCTTTTAAAAGCCGAAGAGACCATAAGAAACCTAACCCCAAAGAAACCAAAATCTTTCGTTCCCTTCTTCTTCTTCCTTTTTCCTCCTGCCCAAGCAAAAGCTCCCTTCTCCAGCCCTAACACTTCTTCCCTTTCTGTTCGTCGCCTCCTCCTTCAATCGTGTTCGAATTGGTGTTTGCTTCGGGGACGAACGGTAATTTTAGGAATTAGATTCTGCAAGCGACAACCGGGAGACGATGTCTGCAGTGGTGTGCGGAACCAAAAGATCTTTCTTTGAAGAACTACCGCCTTCGCCTCCCGTTTCCAAGCGCCTCCGCTGCTCCTCTACCACTTCTCCGATTAGATTCGCTGCGTCCTGTCTTATTGATCAGCTACAGAATTTGTTTCCTCAAATGGACCATCAGGTTTCTTCGTTCTTCCATGCCTTTTTTTTTTAATATATAATTTCGTTTTAATTTGAGAAACTGTCGCTCTCTGTTTGTTTCTGAGGTTTCCTGTTTTTTTTTTTTTTTCCTTTTCTTTTTTGTGCTTCTGTGTAATATCATATTTCTTGACAGGGTTATAACATGAATTTATTTGGGATTTTCTGAAAACAGGTGTAACCTTAGGGAAATCGTGTTATTCTCTTCGTTTTGTATATAATAGTGAAGTTATATGCGTTTTTGGGCTGTGAATTTATCAACTTATTTCGCTAAGTTGCAGTCTGAAATTGGAGGGCTTCTATTCAGTTTTAATTTGTGATGCATCTCTTTCGCTTTCTTATTTGATACTGCTAGTTTGTTTTTCCCCCAAGGTTTTCTTGATCATGGTTGAATTTTTTCCTTTCAGCTTCTTGTGAGAGTCCTTGAAGAATGTGGCAACGACTTGGATGCTGCCATCAAAAGTCTGAGTAACATGTGTTTGGGATCTACTGTTGAGAATCCTGTTGCTACTACAGCAGCAGAGACAAATTTGGACCACGGAGGTATCACATGGTGCTAAATAATGGAGGAGTTGCTTCATGTTTATTTTCCTTGTTCCTATTTATTCATGAGTTTAATTATATTATGATGATGATGAATTCATGATTGAATTCCTTGTTCAAAGAAAGGAAGGTTTAACTTTTAGATGAAACTATGAGAATTGAGAAAACATAGTTCGCAATTGGAATATAATGTATGCTTATTTCATGGAAGAGATCCAATGGGCCCCCCTTGCGTATTGTCCCTAGTTTGGATTACTAATCATACCCGTTCCTTGTCCAGGTTAGAGGAAGATGTTTTAAGTTTTGATTGAGAAACAAGAAACAGATTTCTCATGTAGAGTACCATACGTCCATTCTCTTAGAGTATGATGTATTTTTTTTTTCTCATTTGGAGTATGATGTACCTTGCTGTTTGTAGTTTGATTTGGTAAGTATATATTTCGGAATTGGCTGGTACATGCTCAGGAAAATAACCCTAGTTCCGTTTTTCTGGAGATAAATTTGTGAAAGGAATTCTAATCTTCTATGCTGTATTGCCCCTGATTTGTTTGTAATGAGGTTTTTTTTAGTCTGATAATTTATTTCTCTGCCTCACAGCATGATTTGTTCTCAACAAAAATTTCATATTAATGTTGAACCTTGCTTCATGCATTTTTTCTACCAAGGGCACTGTTCAACAACTTTCATTCCCTTCTTTTCTTTCTTGTAAAGATGTATAATTCAACGTATGTTTAAAAAATTTGTAGGTTCATTTGCTGACAATGGGGAGCCTGCTGCTTCAGAGAATTTGTCAGCACCAAGCAGTGTTTCTCTTGATGGTAGGGAATGGGTTGACTTGTTTGTAAGGGAAATGATGAGCGCTACTAGTGTAGATGATGCTAGGACTCGTGCAGCAAGAGCATTAGAGGCTTTAGAGAGCTCGATTAGTGCACGTGCTGGTGCTGATGCCGCACAAAATTTCCACAAGGTATGTCAATCGTAATCCTCACAACTCCAATAAGCTTTCCATATCCTTGGGGAACAAATTTGGTATACTGGTAGGCTTTTGGAGCATTTGAAAGCAGTTAGATTTGGTTGAGGCTCATTCACTTGTCAGACATTCTATTGCTATAAACTTATGTTTTCCACTGTTACTCAGGAAAACATGCAACTGAAGGAACAAATTGAAGTACTACTACGAGAAAATACAATTCTTAAGCGAGCAGTTGCCATACAACATGAACGTCAGAAGGAATTCGAGGATAAGAACCTAGAGTTGCAGCACCTTAAACAGTTGGTATCTCAATATCAGGAGCAGCTGAGAACGCTAGAGGTCGGAATAAACTGCACAATTTTTTCAATTGTCTTCCCTAGTATTTTTGCAGACCTTTTTAAAGTTCTTAAACATGTTCATGTTCATGATCATGCTGCTTTTTCTAACTGGTTGGAAACGAACTTTGTTGCTTTTGTTGTTACAGGTAAACAATTATGCATTGACAATGCATTTGAAGCAGGCTCAACAAAGCAGCTCGATTCCCGGACGCTTCCATCCCGATGTCTTCTAGCAAAAAGCAGTGTAAAGATCAAAATTGTTGGTTGCAGAAAGGTAGTAGCAGAGAGCGTGAATGAGAGATGAGGGAAGGGGAGAGCAGGGAGGAATGGAGCATCCTATGAATAGAGGTATTGCAGACCAATGTGTGTTTGTTTCTGTATTTGAGTTTGATCATATCGTCAACCTGGAATGGTGACTGCCACCGCAGCTCTGTTGTGGAACTTCTATTGTTTCCCCATGCTTTTCAATAAAGCCTTTGTTCAATTTGATGATTGTTGGTGGTGGAAGATCAAGTTATTGTCAAGTTTATGCTCTTAAATTACAAGTTGAAGTAATTGTACTTTTGGATCGTTTGCAAGTGAATAATGACGGTTAGGTTTCATTCTGTGAATAATAACGGTTAGGTTTCGTTCGTGAATGATGATGGTTAGGTTTCGTTCCTGAATGATGAATCTTTATTTATTTATTACTATACACATTGCTTCTATTTATGAATTCCTCGAGCAAGGATTGAATCTTTACGTTTGGGGTAAAAAATTTGTTGCCTAAATGGATAAATTGTTAACAAGTTAATAGTAAAAAAATTTTCTTTTCAGAAAATAAGTACAAACATTGCTTCTATTTATTTACTGTTCACAAATTTCTCAGCGGGGTAAAAAACTTGTCTAAATTTGGGTTGGGATTTATATAATCTTTTTTTATAATTAAATGGGGCCCAAAATAAATATATATATATGTCAAGTTGTTAAATTATGACTTAAAATATATAAATCTTTGAAATATATTAAAAAAATGGAAGACAGAAAAAGACCTAAAATTTCATAAAAACAACATGAACACAATTAAAACAGTGGCGTTACGTGTAACAAGAAAAATCACACCACATCTTACGATCCTCTTCTTCTTCTTCTTCTTCTTGTTGTCGCCCACAGTCTCCAAAGCGAGCGTAAATTTCCCACCAAAACGGTGAACAATCGCATTCATCTCCTCAGTTTAGCACTCCCATCATACCCATTTCTTATCTACAGGCTTTAATGGCCGCTTCGTCTCTTTCCCTCCTTCCTTCTCCCCTCACCTTTCCTCCTTCCGAGCGTTTCTCTGCTTCTTCTTCTTCCGCTTCATCATCTTCCTTCTTCCATGGCGGAACCCATCTCAAGTTCCACAGGAACTTCCTTAATGTGCATTTTTATTCATCTAATTCTTCTCCTTCTCCCAATTCCCAATTTAATAAAAGGGCCTCTTCCAGACGACGCATGGGAGTTGTTGTTTGTGCTTCCGGGGATTACTATGCAACTCTCGGGATCCCCAAGTCTGCTAATAGCAAGGAAATTAAGGCCGCTTATCGAAAATTAGCCCGTCAGGTACGAAATTTGTTCAAGTTCTTTTGGGTGTAATTTGGTAATCGCGATGAAGCTGGAGGTTAGTTGTTGAGAATTTTATCTATACGGGAATAAATTTGTGGGAAAATGGGTTCTGTTTGTTAAAACTCTCAATGTCATCTTTGAGCCTCTTCGAGCATCGCCAATCACTGATAATTTGAATCTACTACAATACTGTTAATTATAGCTGATGATCGTAATGCTTCATCTTTTCTAAATGTTTTCTCTAGAATATGGGCTAGCTGAGTTTTTGTAAGCTTCATTGTGGAGTGGTTTGGTTTGTAAATCCTCGGCTTGCCAACATGACTTCTTATATTCTCTCTCTTTTCTCTCAAGTATCACCCTGATGTGAATAAAGAACCTGGAGCAACTGAGAAGTTCAAAGAGATCAGTGCTGCTTACGAGGTATGGTTGAGGAAAAAGATTTAATCATAGTGCATGTGGGTGTATGTGTTCAGAGCTTCCATTTCAAGCTGCAAATATATCTTAAATGTGTATTCTTCCTGTCTTCTTTGGCAATATTTAAATCTATGGCGTGTTCTTATTCAACTATTTGTTAGGAATCACGACTCTCCACAATGGTATGATATTGTCCACTTTGAGCATAAGCTCTCATGGCTTTGCTTTGGGCTTCCCCAAAAGGCCTCCTACGGATGGAGATGTATTATTTATTGATAAACCTATGATCATTCCCTAAATTAGCCAATGTGGGACACCTCCCAACAATCCTCAACACTATCTATATTTGCAATCTGTTCCAAATTTATCATTTCAAGAGTTGGTTTCTTCACTTTATGACATTATTGATTGCTGATGAAGCACTTTACCCTTTTGATTTTCGCACTTATAATATTGTCCTTTGAATCTCAAGTACAATGCTGTCAGGTTCTTTCAGATGATAAGAAGCGGGCTTTGTATGATCAATATGGTGAAGCTGGAGTGAAGAGTACAGTAGGGGGATCTAGTGCTTATACGGTTTGTTGATATTTGATATCGTCTCTAATTTGCTAGAGAAATCGTGCTTCCTACTTGATGCATGCATTTTTACATCAAGAAATATTGGGGCTTATACAATATATTGTTGTTGCAGACTAATCCCTTTGATTTATTTGAGACATTCTTTGGACCAAGCATGGGAGGATTTGGCGGTATGGATCCAACTGGGTTCCGCACACGCCGTAGCAGTACTGTTACGAAGGGTGAAGACATACGGTGAGTCACAGTATGACAAGTGCTTGAAAAGTACCATCTTTTTGCTACTATTTTTGGGGCAGGGTGGTATTTCCTTCAATGCTTGTGTTAGTTAGATTCAATCAATGGAATCTTACTTGTACCTTCGCTGATTTCCATGTTTGTTTTGTGTTACAAATTTTCTATTGGAGTATTTGTTAACAAATTTTAAGTAGATATGTGTGAGATCCCACGTCGGTTGGAGAGGGGAACGAAACATTTCTTATAAGGGTGTGGAAACCTCTCCCTAGTAGACACGTTTTAAAACCTTGAGCGGAAACCCGGAAGGGAAAGCCAAAGAGGACAATATCTGCTAGCAGTGAGCTTGGGCTGTAACAAATGGTATCAGAGCCAGACACCGTGCGGTGTGCCAGCGAGGACGCTGGGCCCCTGAGGGGGTGGATTGTGAGATCCCACATCGGTTGGAGATGGGAACGAAACATTCTTTATAAGGGTGTGGAAACTGCTTCCTAGTAGACGAGTTTTAAAACCTTGAGGGGAAGCCCGGAAGAGAAAATCCAAAGAAGACAATATCTGCTAGCGGTGGGCTTGGGCTGTTACAATGTGCCTATGTTTATGCCATTACGGTTTTTATTTTGTTGATTTGAGAAAAATTTACAAGGCATGCTATAACCTGATTTTCCTCTCTCCCCCACACATTTCCTACCTCCATAAGATCTAGAAGGCGACCTGTTGATTTTATAAAATTTTCAGGAAATCATCATTTTCTACGGTACTTGTTGGTGTGCATTGTCACTTTATCTTCCTCTTGCTTAAAGTTATGTAGTTAATTAAATGATATTGGTACTAAGTGGACATAGGTTTATAGAGACGCAGTTAGGTTTGCCAGTGGCAATAGGTGAGGCATTGCAAGCCACTCTGACCTGTGCACTTGTCATTACAAATGCCTTTGATTAGGCTTTTTCTACTTTGAGAGTATCAGGCATTGATTTTTGTATATCGTAATTTCTATTTTCAACTAAAAAATTCGAGCACAATGGGTTGGCATAGAGGTCAATAAGAGCCATGTCAATAATAAATGACTTAGAGAGAATGAGTTCGAGTCATGGTAGGGTTATATAGTTGTCTCGGGAGAATCATCGAAGTGTGTGCAAGCTAGTCCAAACACTCCCGACGTAGGGTTATATAGTTGTCTTGGGAGAATCATCGAAGTATCCGCTAGCTGGTCCAAACGCTCCTGAATATTAAAAAAAACAAAGAATTATAACAAATAGGTGACTAGAATAACGAGTACTTCAATTGATTACGTGTTTTATCGGGCTGTCTTCAATCAGTAGAATATTATTTCCTTGTAGTTCTTTATTCAACTTTTAACTCATTAGATTCACATTAAATGACTGCAAGTCCAGTTATGACATCAATTTAGGATTTTCGGAAGCCATATTTGGATCAGAGAAAGAATTTGATCTGTCCCATCTGGAAACATGTGAAGTCTGCTTGGGTACTGGTTCAAAGGTAGGCTCCAAAATGAGGATATGCTCAACATGTGGAGGGAGAGGTCAAGTTATGAGAACCGAGCAAACACCTTTCGGCTTGTTTTCTCAGGTATTGGCATCACTGATGCTTTCAAACTTGACTCTTGCCTTCCCTAACTATCTAGCTGACAAAGTTTGAAAATTCATTTAATTTGTATTTGCTACATCATTGTTCATATTACATCGACTCTATTTTGAGATGAGAGGTTTTTGTTTCGTTCGATTTGATTGGAATGCTTATCTACTGTTTGCCATCAGAGATAGTTTTGTATTTATTTAAATCCGATCGGTTTGGTCCAATACTTATGTCAGGTTTCTGTATGTCCAAATTGTGGTGGCAATGGTGAGGTCATATCTGAGTTCTGTCGGAAGTGTTCTGGCGAAGGACGCATCCGCGTTAAGAAAGTCATCAAGGTTAAAATTCCTCCTGGAGTTAGTGCAGGCAGTATCCTAAGAGTTGCAGGAGAAGGTGATGCTGGACCCAAAGGGTATGAGCTCAAGTTTTTTACTTTTGATTAGAATATTTTAGGGTGCGACGCACGAATCTGTCGAACACGTGTCCTTGAAATGTTATATTGGCTTGGAGATTCCTTTATTTTGTGAATGAAAATGGCCCAGCTTTCTTTCCAGGTTTTATTCTTAAGTTCTCGTTAGTATTTCAAACAATTAAGCCAGGTAGCTTTTTTGTTTGCCAGGGGACCTCCAGGAGATTTATTTGTGTATCTTGATGTAGAAGAAATACCTGGAATTCAAAGAGACGGCATCAATCTTTACTCAACAGTTGCTATCAGTTATCTGGATGCCATTATGGGATCTGTTGTCAAGGTGGACTTTTACTTATCTCTTTATTCTTCATTAACAAATGATGTATGCATTTTGTTGAATTTGCTTTGCTATATGGTTTAATCTTTTTATATGAGATATACAGGTAAAGACTGTTGAAGGAATGGCTGATCTACAAATTCCACCTGGTACTCAGCCTGGTGATGTTCTTGTTCTTGCAAAGAAAGGTGTTCCAAAACTGAATAAGCCATCGATTCGAGGCGATCACTTATTCACAATCAAAGTAACCATACCAAATCGTATCAGGTAAAAGTGTATTCATTCTAGATTCTCCTTTTTCTTCATCTTTTGGTAAGTATTAACAATGTATATTTTTGTTTACAGTGAAAAAGAGCGAGAATTGCTTGAAGAGCTAGCTTCATTGAACAACGCTTCTGGGACCGGGAGCCGTTTCAGAACTCGCCCAAAACCTCAACCACAACCACAACCACA